TAGGACAGCCAGAGCTACATAGAGAAACCCTGTTTTGAAAACCCAACCAACCAGACAAAACCACACACATATACACATAAGAAATACAGCACTCTGCTAGGAAAAGGCACTTGGAAAGGGTACTGTTCCAAGACTTTGGGGTAGGCGAGTCTCATGGGAGTAAAACTGGGAGGGAGACATTATTAGGAACAATGACATCCTTTGCTGGAGGCATTTGTATTTCCTGGCTTAATAGTCTCTTTCCCATTTGTCAGTTGAGTTTTATATTAGCTTGGCTTTGCTGATTCCAAGTGACAGATTTGGATTTTAATTCTTTTTTTTTTTTTTTTTTTTTTTAAATATTTATTTATTATGTATACAATATTCTGTCTGTGTGTATGTCTGCAGGCCAGAAGAGGGCACTAGACCTCATTCCAGATGGTTGTAAGCCACCATGTGGTTGCTGGGAATTGAACTCAGGACCTTTGGAAGAGCAGGCAATGCTCTTAACCACTGAGCCATCTCTCCAGCCCCTGGATTTTAATTCTTTTGGCCAACTGAGTTGGTTTCTCAGTTCCTGAACTGGCCTACCTAATTTCTTTTTCCCCTCCCTACCTCCCTCCCTCCCTCCCTCCTCCCTTCCTCCCTCCCTCCCTCTTCCCTCCCCTCCCCTCCCCTCTTCTCTCCTCTTCTCTCCCCTCCTCTCCCCTTTTCCTCCACTTCCTCCCCTCTCTTTTCCTCACAATTAGCCCAGGTTGGCCTGGAACACTTTATGTGGACTAGCTTGTCCTTAAACTCAAAGAGTTCTGCCCGCCTCAGCCTTCCACGTGCTGGGACTAAATTTGTGCATCATTACATGCTGCAGTCAACCTAATTTCCTTACATCAGGATCCATAACTCTTAGGTCAGTGGCTAATCTGTGACAGCTCCCTATGCTACTTCAGTCCATTCAGCAGTGGCTAAGGTAAGCAGAGTCACATGGTATAAAACATCATTTAGAGCAGCTGAAGGCAGAGACAGGAGTTTTTTCCTGAGACAGGGTTTCTCTGTAGTTCTGGAGCCTGTCCTTGAACTCACTCTGTAGACCAAGCTGACCTCTAGCTCACAGAGATCCACCTGCCTTTGTTTCCCGAGTTCTGAGATTAAAGGCGTGAGAAGTCACCACCCAGCCAAGACAGGATTTTTTTTTTAATATTTATTTATTATGTATACAATATTCTGCCTGTGTATATGTCTGCAGGCCAGAAGAGGGCACCAGATCTCATTACAGATGGTTGTGAGCCACCATGTGGTTGCCGGGAATTGAACTCAGGACCTTTGGAAGAGCAGGCAATGCTCTTAACCTCTGAGCCATCTCTCCAGCCCAAGACAGGATTTTTTTAAATATTTATTTATTATGTATACAGTGTTCTGTCTGCATATATACCTTGGCACCAGATCTCATTACAGATGGTCATGAGCCACCATGTGGTTACTCGGAATTGAACTCAGGATCTCTGGAAGAGCAGTCAGTGCTCTTAACCTCTGAGCCATCTCTGCAGCCTGAGACAGGAGATTCTCTCAGGCACTAATCTAACATGCATTTTTGGCTGCCATGTGTAAGGCGCTGTTGTAGGAGTCAGAACGCCAACTGTCAGAGAGAGAAGGTACCTTCTGGAGGGAGGAAGTAGACGGACTGAGGTGATGCTTGCTGAACTGCAGTATTAAGACATCACTTTTAACAGAATGGTGCAGAAAGCCTTTTATTATTATTATTATTATTTTTTTGGTTTTGGATTTGTTTTTTTTTAAATATTTATTTATTTATTTATTATGTATACATTATTCTGTGTGTATGCCTGCAGGCCAGAAGAGGGCACCAGACCTCATTCCAGATGGTTGTGAGCCACCATGTGGTTGCTGGGAATTGAACTCAGGACCTTTGGAAGAGCAGGCAGTGCTCTTAACCTCTAAGCCATCTCTCCAGCCCCTTGGATTTGGTTTTTTTGAGACGGGTTTGTAACTACCCTGGTCACTCTGTAGACCAGGCTGCCCTCAAACTCTCATAGATCTGCCTGCCTCTGCCTTTCAAGTGTTGCAATCAAAGGTGTGCGCCACCACAGCCCGGCCAGAAAGCCTCGTAGTTGAATGTTCTTTGAGTTGAAATCTAAGGGACATAAAGGCAAAAGGTGAGAGTGATGGGGGATGAAGGTAGAAGAAAGAAGACAAGACAAAAAAAAAGCCAACTGGGCAGATGGAGAAGCAGAAGAGCGAAGGGATGAAGGTGGAGAAGTGGAACCGTAGGAACAGAGGTTGCAATGCTTTGTGGAATGGGGAGACCTCACTGGACTCTGTCAAGCTGCTGGGGCCTAGCTACAGGCAAAGCAGATAGGAAGAGTCTCAAAGCCGGGAGAACAGAGGCCAGGACAACTGCAAGAAGGTGAGTGTGAGCTTTTGGTCATGGCCAGAACTTAACATTTCTGAAAATTACTACGTTTGTAGTCTACTTAAGTTTAGAGACGAGGCTGTCAGTGTAGCTAGTAGCTGATCACTGACCAGCAGATTGTGCTCCTTGCGATATCCATTGCTGTATAGTATTATGTAAGGAAGACGTTAGGTCGGAAGAAAACAGTTGTCATAAGATTCCCATATTAGCTTATATTCTTACAGCAACCTCGTGAGCTGGGTTTTATTACCCCTGTCTTCTAGATAGGAAAACTCAAGATGAAAGCGATGAAGATCCCTTAGAAGTCAACATCTAGTAGTAGTCAGCCTATGATTTACACCAAATACATTATTTCCAAAGCCTATTGTTCTTTCAGTTGAAATGGCCAAGAAAACCTACGGAGCCAGGTAACAGTGGCACACTAAAGAGTCCCAGCACTCAGGTGATGTTTACAGCCAGCCTGGTCTACAGAGTGAGTTTCCAGACAGTCAGGGCCACACAGAGAATCCATGTCTTCAAAAACCAATTTAAAGAAATAATACACAGGGGGCTGGAGAGATGGCTCAGAGGTTAAGAACACTGACTGCTCTTCCAGAGGTCCTGAGTTCAATTCCCAGCAACCACATTGTGGCTCACAGCCATCTATAATGAGATCTCCCCCCCTCTTCTGGCACGCGAGCATACATGGCAGGAATGTTGTATACATAATAAATAAATAAATCTTAAAAAAAAAGAAAAAAGAAATAATACACAGCAAGATGACACAGCAGGTAAGGATGCTTGTTGCCCGCATGAGCACCTGAGTTCAATCTCTGTGATGGGGGTTACTGACTTCTGCAACTGTCCTCTGATTTCCACATACAGACAGAAGTAAATATGAATAAAAGATTTAAAGACTGCAGCAGCAAATTAATCCCGTATAATATCATTAGCTCTCCACCAGGTGGAGAAAGAAAAGCCTCCTTTGAGGGAAAACAAGGTCAGAATATTCCACTGAGGTACGAAGAATTTCGGGGTTGAGAGAATTTAGAAGCCAGTGCACGTGACACAACAAAGTTAGGAATCCTGTTACCAGCTTGATGAGACGTCATCCAGTGTTCATTCCTGGGGGGCCGGCTGGAGAGACGGCTCAGAGGGCAAGAGCACTGGCTGTTTTTCCAGAGGTTTTTAGTTCAGTTCCCAGCAACCACATGGTGGCTTACAGCCATCTGTAATAAGATCTGGTTACCCCTTCTGGCCTTCAGGGGTACATGCAGGCAGAACACTGTATACATAATTAATAAATAAATCTTTGAAAAAAGGAAAACCTACTGGGGTTAGGAATATATTCCCCTACCCATTCTCAGCTGCCAGTTTAGGACATCGCCACATCACCTATTCCCTTCAGTTTCCTCAGTAAAGAGTTTAATATCTTCTTCACAAAGCATTGATCAATAAAAGGAGACAGATATGAAAACTGTTTAATCCAGGGGCTACAGAGATGGCTCAGAGGTTAAGAGCACTGGCTGACTTCAAGAGGTCCCGAGTTTAATTCCCAGCATCTCACAGACATCTGTAATGGGATCTGGTGTCTTCTTCTGGCCTGCAGGAGTACATGCAGACAGAATACTGTATACATAAAAAATAAATCTTTTTAAAAAATGATTTATTTATTTTTACTGTATGTGAATTGGTATTTTGCGAGGTGTCAGGTCCCCTGGAGGTAGAGTTATCAGCGGTTGTCTGCTGCCATGTGGGTGCTGGGAAGTGAACCCAGGTCCTCTGGAGGAACCACCAGTGCTCTTAACCGCTGATTCATCTCTCCAGCCCCTAAATAAATCAATCTTTAAAACAAAAAAGAAAATTGATCAATCCAATCACACAGGACTGTGATGTTAGTCTTATTTACAGTTTCTTTTATAGCACAGCTATTTCATGGCTGGGTTGTCATCTCTCGGTATTGTTTTAGCAACATTCCTAGGTTAAATCTTAGTGGTCACATAAAATGTGCTTTTTTTCTTTCCTTGATATTTTTACAGATATCTGATTACAGTTGAAGGAATTTATAAAAAAAATTTGTTCTATTGTTGAGCTGAGAAGCTGGGGTGAGTCATCCGTGTGAATCTCAAGAACTGTTTAGATGGAATGAGTGGGCCAAAGATGATTTTCAATTCAGTATGTGAAGCTGTGTCCGAAGATGGAATGATTATTTGGGAAAGATAGTGTACTATGACGCTGGTGATTTCATTAGCACAGGAAGGGAGTGTGTGTGTGTCCTTTCTGCAAGACATTTGAATGAACCCGAACGGTGCTATTCCCTGCCATTCAACAGGCAATTTGAAAGGTCATCTGTCGCTATGAATGACTGGTCGAATGTGGATACTATTAAAGATAGCCAAGCTGCTTCCCTTGACCACCTAGGCAGGTAGGGACTAACTTCGGTCTTGTCTTCTCAGAGTTGGCCGCAAGATGGTGCTGGGGAGCTCGCATGCCACTGACGGGACGCTCCTGGTTCACCTGCCCAACAGAGACTACAACTCCCGGGGTGCCCTGGGAAGGGAGGCGGGGGGCCCTGGGGGGAGGGACGCGAGGGCGGACCTTCCGGGTGTGTGTTTCCGGCGCCGGCGGCCGGCGACGGTGTGAGAGCGGTAAGATGGCGGCCGCAGCGGTGGTGGAGTTCCAGAGAGCTCAGTCCCTACTCAGCACCGACCGGGAGGCCTCCATCGACATCCTCCACTCCATCGGTAAAGGTCCTCGCGCCGTTCCCGCGGCCCCGCCGGCCTGGCACGGCCTGTGTCGGTCGGAGGCGGCGGCGAGGGGCCGGGTTAGCCGGCTATGGTGCTGCTGACTCACTGTGTGTGAGGGGGGCCGGGCCGGGGGCGCAGGCCGCTCGGGGTCCCCGGAAGCCCCATGGCTTCCAGTCGGGCGGGAAGCCCCGAGGCAGCCCGCGCGTCCACCCGCTGGCTGCTGACTCACGGTGGGCGCATCGCGGCGTGGAGAGAGGGCCGGGCCGGGATCACTACCCCTTAGGGTCCCGGGTTGTGGCCCGCACGAGCTGGCCCGCGGCTGAGAGCCTCTGGCTGGTTACACACGGGTCGCAGAGTGCGTTGAGTGACCTGGGCGACAGCCGCACAGGACTGGCTTTTCCCGCCGTTGTTATCAGCACAGGTTGCTCCGGGTGGGAGCGCGAGCGCTTCTCTCGGAGTTTTCTTCCGCGGGACGCCGGGCACTGCTGCTCACCCCCATTCCCTGACAGCAGCAAACGAGGGCCTTTTTGGGGGTGGGAAGTTGAGGGGTGCCACACACCTCAGACTGGCATTTGGGGGAGCTGGCCAAGGCGGTCCTCTGTCCGGTGTAGACTGTGAGGAGGCGAAGTGTCGGGGTGGGACCGCCGGGACAGAGGAGGTGACTAATTCTCCCCAGTAGGGGTTGAAGTTAGTTCAGAGTTTGCTGTCTGTTGTTCAGGGAACTCTTTGGAACCGGCCGGCCGCACTTTGCCGGAGGAAAAGAAAATTTTAACATCGTAGTGTGATTGTCAACTGAGGGCAACAGGAAAGTTGAAATAGGAGCCTTCCGCCTCTCGCTCTCTACTGGGATTCAAGTGTGAACAGAAATAAACGGACAATGGCAGAGAAGGCTTTTTACTTTTTCCTCAGTCCTGGAGAGTTCGGGTAGGGCATGAACTCCTTGTGCTAATGTGATCGGTGCAGTGTAGCCCGGGAAGATTGGGATTAGCTCAACAAGTAGTGAGTGCAGGTGGGTGTAGGACTCCCAGGATGTTGATGCTGGTGTTGACTTAGTCTGCCGAGTTTCAGTTATCAAGACTTGCACAGAGAAAGGACAAGAGCTTGATGTCTTTATCTTTGGGGTACTAGAAAAGGAGCGGAAATGGTGATCACAGTGCATTTTGAAGGAATAATGATCGCGTGCCTTTTGAAGTTTTGATCCCGAGTCAGCCGTAGAACAGAGTGCCAGAGTCATCGGACTATTGCTCCATAGGTGTTTTTATGTGAACACAGTTCATATTTAGAACTGATCTGAGGAGCGTGAGTTTGAACTTTTTTTGTGCTTTGTGCTTAGTTCATTTGCCTTTGAGAAAGTAGAAATTACTGATAAACGTTGCATTAGAGTATTTCTTAGTTGTTTACTTCACTAAAGGACAGTCCCCAGCAGGCTTCCCTGTTAGAGCAGGCTTGAGTCATGATGAGTGACAGCCTTACTTTTCCCAGACTCCATCATGAAGTATCAAAGTCTTGGTTTTTGTCAAGTCATGATGGTTTATAAGAGCAGTGGTAACTAGCCATGGTCACCAGAATAAGCACTGCAGGCTGTGGAGAGGCTGTTTGAGGTTCGGGTGGCTGAATAATTATTAACAGTTGAAAGTGGGACAGACAGAAAGTTATTTTAACAGGACCTCAATCCATTATGAGGCAGCAGTCTCTCCTAAGTGTAACTACTGAGTGTCACATCAAGGCTTGGTAGGGAATTGTCTAGAATTGCTTTATAGAATTGTTTATTCCTAATAACATTCTTTTTTTTAAAATATTTATTTATTTATTATGCATACAATATTCTGTCTGTGTGTACGTCTGCAGGCCAGAAGAGGGCACCAGACCTCATTACAGATGGTTGGGAGCCACCATGTGGTTGCCGGGAATTGAACTCAGGACCTCTGGAAGAGCAGACACTGCTCTTAACCACTGAGCCATCTCTCCAGCCCCCTCCTAATAACATTCTTTAGTTGAAGCTTTTATAGACTTAAAAGTTTGTTGAAAGACTTGGTTATAGTCATCAATAACTTTATAATTTGATTTTAGTTTATGGTAGGTAAATGCACAGGCATTTTCCTAAAAAATATCTTCATACAACATAGTGTCTAGCATGGGGGTCATCACCATAACTGGGAAGAATTTGCTTTAGTTTTACTTTTAACGAGTACAGCAGCAGAAATTTTAGTATCTGGGTGAGATGAATTCTAGGGGATTGATAAAAAGGCCCACTTAAAGAGAAGACCCCCCCCCAGATGAGGTTTTGCTGTAACTTTGGAGCCTGTCTTGGAACTAGCTCTTGTAGACCAGGCTGGCCTTGAACTCATAGAGATCCTCTTGTCTCTACTTTCTGAGTGCTGGGTTTAAAAGTGTGCACCACCACTGCCCAGCAGAGTATTTTTTTTTTTTTTTGGTTTTTTCGAGACAGGGTTTCTCTGTGATTTTGGAGCCTGTCCTGGAACTAGCTCTTGTAGACCAGGCTGGTCTCGAACTCACAGAGATCCGCCTGCCTCTGCCTCCCGAGTGCTGGGATTAAAGGCGTGCGCCACCACCGCCCGGCCCAGAGTATTTTTTTTATTCTTACTATGAGGCATGTTCTATAGATACTTGGACATTTTACCTTTTTAAGCCCTTATTTCTTTGGTGGTTTCATTTGGGATTTATTATTTTATATGTATGCATATTTTGTCTCCATATCATACACATACCTGGTGCCTCTAGAGGTCAGAAAAGGCCATCAGATCCCCTAGAACTGGAGTTACAGATGGTTGTGAGCCACTGTGTGGGAGCTGGGATATGAACCCTGGTCCTCTGGAAGAACAGTCAGTGCTTTTAACCACTGAGTCGTAGCTTTGGTAGTTTCATTTGGGAAATAGGGTAGAGTTAATAATAGCTCTTTTAAGGATGAATTTTCCCCTTCTTTTTTTTTTTTTTTTGGTTTTTCGAGACAGGGTTTCTCTGTAGCTTTGGTGCCTGTCCTGGAACTAGCTCTTGTAGACCAGGCTGGCCTCGAACTCCCAGAGATCCGCCTGCCTCTGCCTCCCGAATGCTGGGATTAAAGGCGTGCGCCACCACCGCCCGGCTCCCTTCATTTTTTTTTAAATCATATTTTAAGAGTTCATTTACTTTTCTCAGTGAAACGTGACATTCAAGAAAATGATGAGGAGGCAGTCCAGGTCAAAGAGCAGAGCATCCTTGAACTGGGGTCTCTCCTGGCGAAGACTGGACAAGCTGCTGGTAAGTCTTCAAAACAGATTGTACCTATAATGCTTTTGTCTGAAACATCAGGTGGAGTTTCCCTCCGAACACCAGACTGTACCTAACACCCAGTTCATTTATTTTCCTAACAACTTGTTGTTCTTCAATTTTGTAACAGAAAAGTGTAGAATTTGCTCTACAGGTGAGGGAAAGTTCTGTTTTTGTTGGAATGTAGTGATCTGTGATTTGTTTCTTATTTTTGAATTATCATTGTATTTCTTTACATGTGGGCAGGAGCAGTCTTCAGCAATTTCATTGACTAGCTCTGGTATATTTAAAGAGAGTTCTTTATTTGAAAATAGGGCTTGGATTGTATCTAAGTGACTCACTTTTTCTGATGTAGAATGAGTAAGGCATAAAGTAGTGCCTTCCTAAGACTTCTTCCTTGGTACTGGGGACTTTTGCACTTTGTTATTCAGGTGTGCTAGTGGTAATTGAACCATTGGCTGGCTGGACTTAAGGTGATAGTCCTGTTGACTAGAAAGGACCTGTGATCAGTAAAATGGTAATAATATTATAAGTGTGCTTAAACTTAAATGGGTAATTTTTGTCTCTTTAAAGTGAACTTAGAGGGTCTGGAGAGATGGCTCAGGAGTTGTGAATATTTATTGCTCTTGTAGGGGATCTGGACCAGCACCCACGTGGCGTCTCATAATAATCTGTAACTACAGTCTTAGGGGATCTGATGCCCTTGTCTGACCTCTGAGGGCACCAGGCATGCTCATGGTAACAGATGTACATTCATATGCGTAGTATAAATCATAAAAGAAGTTAAGTTGAATTTAGAATTACTTGATTAGAACGAAGTGGGTTCTGGGAAGTCACTTCATTTGTTACTTTCTTTCAGTTTATGTAGTAAGCTCAGAGTGGTGTATCCAGATAGTATAATAAAATTTCTTGAGCTTGTAAATAAAGATCTGTAATTAATGATAATTTGTCTTTCTAATTACTGGCTCAATCAGTAAAAAGTTAAGAAAAGATGTGAATGGTGCATACCTGTTATCTTAACACCTTGGAGAAGAGGCAGCTAATTTCTGTGAGTTTGAGATCAACTCAATCTACATAGTGAGTTCTAGGACAATCAGGACTATATAGTGAAATCCTGTCTCAAAAAAAAAAAAAAAGAAAAAGAAATCAAACCCTAACAAAACCATACAGTGAATGTTTCTCAATAATTTCTCTCTAGTGAGGTTTCTGAAACCCCATTTCCTGCTTGTCTTCTTCAGTCTTCCCTCTCTAATGTGATATAGTGTCTTCAAAAGCTCTTCTGTCCACTTACTGTTTCCTAAGACAGTTTGATCTTTATGGGTCGATATTCACAGAGCAGAAATCCTAAGGTCTTGGAGCCTCTTGTATTAATTTACCTATCTGTGCAATTAACTATATGATAAGACTTCTGTAGAATATTAGCTTTGAAAATATGTCTTTCCCCTTAATGTTCAGTTTTGTTTTATTGTGCATTTGATAATTACCTGGCACTATGCTAAGTACCCTACCTAAAAAGTTTAAGATAGGATTTCTGGTGGAAAATAGTACTTGGAGGCCAATGAATAAGATAAGGTCTGATGTATAGTAGTAATTGAAAGTAATTCTGAGCATTAGCAAACAAGATGCCTAAGTTCAGGGTCTGTGGAAATTTTCTCCCAGGACTTGATAAAAAGATCTGCTGAGTCTGTTAGGTTCTAAGAAGGAGATTCTGATCCTAATTCCCATGATACTGGGAGTATGATTTTTATGAAATTAAAGGAATATACAAACATGGAAAGAAACTAAATGTGTATAAGAATGAACACTCAATAGTAATAGACTAAAATAGAAAATGAGATTAAAAACAGATAGTTCAGATCATGTGTTCCTCTGTTGAGGTAAGAATAGTATTTAGAGAAAATAATGCTAGCAGATGCTAGAGATAAAGGCAGACACCTTAGCTCATGTCTCACTTCTGCCTTTTCTAGGAAGGAAAATGGTTTTCAAACAGAAAAGATAAAATAACATCAGAGAATTAAAGATAAGGTAGGTGAGAGAAGAGAGAACACATGGTCTTTATAAGTTTCTTTCTTTTGGCTCTGACAGTTTTTGTCTGTTGGCATCAAAGGAGTATTAGCAGATAGAAGTGCAGAGAAATTATGAGGACGAAGTATATGAACACAGAGAGTAGGCAAATGTTATTCCACGTTTCAGAAAGGTAATGAGAAGGCTAGATTAAACTATTCCAAGCTGTTGGGTGATGGTGGCATATGCCAGGCAGGTGAATCTCTGAGTTTGAGGCCAGCTTGGTCTGCAGAAGATCAAGTTCCAGGACAGCCAAGGCTGTTACAGAGAGAAGCCTTGTCTTGAAAATCCTTCCCCCCTCCCCCCAAAAAGATTGGAATAAGCTGCTTTCTGAACATATTAGTTACTAAAACATAAAAGAATGAATATTGTTCAGACTACTTAGAATAAACTCTCACAAACTACGGATGTAGATTGTAGTGGAAAACTTGCCAGCCAGGTGCCCCCCTCGACCTCTACATGCGTATACACAAGTCATGCTTGTATAGAATAATTATAATTTGCATAAATTTAAACAAGCAAGCTGGGCATGGTTGTGCACATCTTTAGTCCTAGCACTCAGGAGGCGGAGGTAGGAGGATCTCTGAGTTTGAGGCCAGCCTGGTCTACAGAGTTCCAGGACAGCTAGCAGCCAGGATTGTCACGCAGAGAAACCCTGCCTTGAGCAAATAAACAAACAACAACAAAAACAAAAGAAAAAGAAAAAAATAAGGTTTTGTGTGTGTTTGTCTATCTTACTCTTTTTCATGTCTGTTTTATTCTTTTGAGACAGAGTATCTCTCTGTAGTCTAGGCTATTTCAAAGTCATTGTGTAGATTTTGCCAGTGGTTCCAGAGCTTTCACTTATTGTTGTGGGAAGGTGCAGGGTGAAGCAGAACTGTTCAGCTCATGCTGGACCGGAAGCAGAGAGAAAGGGCACAAGAAAGGTTATTTTTTTCTTTTTTCTTCTGAGACAGGTTTCTCTGTAGCTTTGGAGCTCTGTCTTGTAACCAGGCTGGCTTAGAACTCAGAGATCCGCCTGCCTCTGCCTCCCAAGTGCTGGGATTAAAGGCATGCGCCATCAACGCCTGGCTACAAGAAGAAATTTGATGAGAGAAAAATTAGTGTCAACTGGAGTTAGTATGGAAGACTCAATAGTTCCTTAGCTGGGCCTCCAAAGGCTACATAGAATTTAGGTCGATTAGAGAGACATCTCAGATGAGCCTCTGGCATGAAGGCAGCTTGAGAGCAGGCTTAAAATGAGTGTATGAGCATAAGCGAGGGTGGAATAGAAAGAAGTTTCAGACATTGGAAGTCAAAGCTCAGTCCTGGGGAGTGAGGAGTGCACTTTATTCTTCTGTGTAGCTTACCCTTAGCACATACATCCTGTAGTTTGGTGCACCCTCTGAATTGAGGTAGATGAGGGTTTCAAGGACGCTGAATTTGAGTTCTCAGGAGGCCAAAGTTTGCTTGCCCTGAATTAGAGTTCCCAGGAGAATGAGTGTACAATTAGAGGATATTAAAGAGACGCTGGCACTAAGGTAACTTCAGCCTACATTCCCAAAATACTTCTTGTTTAGTTAAAGCATTGACTAGGACTGGAAGGTGGTGCTACCATGCCCAGCTTAAAGATTTATGTTTATTGTTTTTAATTATGCTTACGTGAAACTGCATAAGCACAAACGTCCTTGAAGGTCAAAGATCAGAGGACTCAAGATGCTCCTAGAGCTAGAGTTACAAGTGGTTGTAAGCCTCTCAATATGGGTGTTGTTGGGAATCAGACCTGGGTCTTCTGCAAGAGTAACAAGTATTCTTTCCTGAGCCCTCTTTTCAGGAAGCAGAGGCAGGTAGCTCTCTGTGTGTTCAAGGCCAAACTGCTATACAAATTGAGTTCCAAGACAGCTAAGGCAGTTACACAAACCCTGCCTTGAAAAACAAACTCTAGACCCAGTACTTGGGAGGCAGAGAAGGAGGATCAGGACAGCCAGCCAGGACTGTTACAGAGAAACCTTGTCTTAACCCCCCCCCCCAACAAAAAAAACCAAAAAAAAAAAGGAAAAAGATAACCAAATCTTTTTTAAAAAGCACTGTCTAATTTTTTTTTTTTTTTTTGAGACAGGGTTTCTCTGTGGTTTTGGAGCCTGTCCTGGAACTAGCTCTTGTAGACCAGGCTGGTCTCGAACTCACAGAGATCTGCCTGCCTCAGCCTCCCGAGTGCTGGGATTAAAGGCGTGTGCCACCACTGCCCGGCTCCACTGTCTAATTTTTAAGACTTAACAAGTCCTTCTCTACTGCTACTAAAGTCACTCCCTTAGGTTTCTTGAACTGCCCTCTTGTAAAAGGAGAAGAAAACTTTATGATGGACTGCTTTTTAAGCCATTGCTTAAGATAGACTTTGGAAATTAATGAAGAATATCTTTTTTAAAGATTTATTTTGTTGGACTCTAGCATCCAAACACGTAGAAGGAGTCGCCCCCAGAGACCATCTCACACACCACAGCCAATGCAAAAGCATGAGGATTTTAATTCTGTCATGACAGGGTCCCCCAGCATTCGGGAAGCCGAGGGAACTCGAATAGTGGGTACAGTCTACTTTTAAAGGGGCCATAGAAGCAAGGGGGGTTGTTCTTTGACTATTCTGATTGGCTTATTTGAAAGGGCTATTACCAATAATTGACTGGAGAGCTGTTGCCAGATCAGATGAGGTAAGAGGTCATTTTGACCCCGTTTCCCAGGGGACTGAATCAAAACATACGTATATGGGTAATTGTTCAGGAACTGAGTATGTGAGTGTAGCTGTTAGGTCCTTGGTTCCCAGGGGAGGAGGGGAAGCACTATGGCACAGAGGCTGAGAGGATTCAGAATTGTCAAAAATGGCTTCAGGATTGTCTTAAATAAAGTCTTACAATTTATGGCCGGGCAGTGGTGGCGTACTCGGGAGGCAGAGGCAGGTGGATCTCTGTTAGTTTGAGGCCAGCCTGGTCTACAAGAGCTAGTTCCAGGATAGGCTACAAAGCTACAGAGAAACCCTGTCTCGAAAAACCAAAATAAATGAATGAATGAATGAATGAATGAAAGATTTATTTATTATGAAATAATACATTGTTCTACCTGCAGGCCAGAAGAGGGCGCCAGATCTCATGGATGGTTGAGAGCCACCATGTGGTTGCTGGAAATTGAGCTCAGGACCTCTGGAAGAACAACCAGTATTTTTAACCACTGAGCCATCTCTCCAGCCCCTAATAAGGAATTTTTAAAGTGTATAATGAAACTTTTAAGGACAAGACACCCTGACCTCATTGTGCCAAGGAAGTGTTAGTGCTGAAATGCTACACAGGGAACTTTTAAGCGGGAGAGGGGCCTGGAACTGGAAACCTCTGTCTTAGGGAAGCTGCCAGAGCATGGATTGGGAGATAAAAACATTACCCTTGTGACTTGACTTTATATTTGCTGGTTTGAGCAGGTGATTTTTGTCATGGTGGGCAGTTGCACAGCATATTTCATGTTCTATCAACTGTTCTGTGAGGACAGAGTGTTTTACTTTGTATCTTTGATTAAATGAGACATAGATGGGAGTTTCCCATGAATGATCCAGTGAATACAACTTTGGTATTCTGTTACTGCTGTGATTTAAAAGTTGCCTTTTTTTTTTTTTTTTTCCTTTCGAGACATAGTGTCTCTGTGTAGTGGTGTAGTGTTGGCTGTTCTGGAACTCACAGAGCTCTGCCTACCTCTGCCTCTCAAGTACTGGGATTAAAAGTGTTAGCCATTACTGCCTGACTTAAATTTTTTTTTTTTTTTTTGAGACACGGTCTCACACTGTAGCCCAGGTTGACTTTGAATTTATTATGAGGCTGACCTTAGAGTCCAGGTAATTCATCTGCCTCAGCCTCCCAAGTGCTAGGACTGTAGATGTGATCCACCACACCTGGTTTTGCTGGAAATTGTTAAGACTTGTAATGGGTTTCATTAGACTGAAACCAGGAATTTTTTTTTTTTTATTAAAGTGGCTCAGTTTTTTTTTTTTATAAGAGTTTTTTTCAAACATTTGTTTATTAATGTATTTGTCTATATGTTGGAGGGTATATGCATGCCATGTTCTTGTTGGAACTTAACAGACATTTGGTCCCAGTGGGCCATCAATCTTGACAAGTACCTTCACCCCAGGCTTAGTTGTTTTAAATGACCATTTTGTTTCTAATTTAAAAATTTTTCATTTTATGTTCCGAATTGCTGCCCACACAGAGCTTGGAGGACTCCTGAAGTATGTACGACCTTTCTTGAATTCCATCAGTAAGGCTAAAGCAGCTCGTCTGGTTCGATCTCTTCTTGATTTGTTTCTTGATATGGAAGCAGCTACAGGGCAGGAGGTAAGTTATAATAATGACAGGAAGTAGATAATATGATAAAAGTGTGTTTCAGTGAAAGATGCCTACTTCACTGTGGTTCTGTGTGGAAGGGATAGCTGGGAGGACTTAGGACTTATCATGTCAGTTTCTCTTTGTTACAGGGCATTTGATACTTTGAGTCTGTTCCATGCTTTGCTTTGTAAGTGGAGATTGTCAGTGGTCCCTGGAATCCTCATTACATCAGGGTCACAAACTGATTCTTGTCTTTGAGGTATTGTATTGCCACACCTTTGTAATGTTTTCTGTGTCTGTGGTACTTTTCATCTGTGTCACAAAGTTTCTTATGAGCACAATTAAGCCTTGTGGCATTCTTTCTTGTCGTTTTTTGTGTGGCTTATGTGCCTTTATTAAGGGTGACCATCCATCTGTTGTGTTTCATGTGTTGGGAAGTGACTGATGTTTCTATACATGTTACTTACAGGTTTAAATTGGACTTTGAGCTTTTCAAAGTAGATCTTTTCTGGAATTCTAGTGTTTATAGTAGTACTGTAGCCAATGGGGATATAGTTGGAAAAACGCATTAATACTTTCATGAGTCTTCTATTTTAAAAGGGGAAGTAGATAATATATAATGTGTATGGTAATATGTAAAGCCAGGGGCTGGAATTGCCAGTTGGTTGTGTGTCTAATTGTCTCCTGTATCTTAGGTGGGCAGGCAGGTAAAGACAAAAGTTCATAGTAGTATATTGGTTGGAATGAGGGATTTCAAAAATTGAGGATACATGGATCCCACTTTGGAATTATATTTTGTTAATTCTGGTTTTTTTGCTTTGATGATGCTCTTTTTATTTTTTAGATTTATTTATTTTACGTGTATCAGTATGTTGTCTGCATGTGTGTTTGCATACCACATGTATATCTGATACCCTTGGAGGGATAGAAGAGGGCATTGGATACCCTGGAACTAGTGTTATGGATGGTAATAAAGCACCATGTGAGTGCTGGGAACTGAACTCAGGTCCTCTTGAAGAACAGTAAGTGCTCATAACCACTGAGCCATCTCTTCAGCCCCACTCTGATGATTCTTTGAAGCCAATCTATAAGCTTCATTTGTAGAGCAGTCTTCAAATTTACTTGTTTCTGGTTTATGACAGTAGGTCAAAATAGATAATATTTAGATAAATGCTTTTGAATCAAAGTATTTAGATATTTTGGTGAATGAAAGAAAACATACTTTTTAGAAATGTTGATCTTATCAAGTCCTCAATTGTTTTCTAAACTGTTCTTTGTATTCATGAATTCTTTTGTTTAAATTAGAATGCCTTAAAAACAGGTTGACCAATCAGTGTTGGCTTCCAAACTAATAAATGCTCCTTTGAACTTTTCATATTAAAATTTTTTTAGACCATTTCTTTGCTCACTGAGGTCATTAGATTTGTTCCTCCCTTTAACAGCGTTGACTGGGTAGAACCGGTTTAGTTCACTCTTTTACTCCTTTTCTTCTTCAATTTATTTATTTATTTATTTATTTATTTATTTATTATGTATACAATATTCTGTCTGTGTATGTGCCTACAGGCCAGAAGAGGGCACCAGACCCCATTACAGATGGTTGTGAGCCACCATGTGGTTGCTGGGAATTGAACTCAGGACCTTTGGAAGAGCAGGCAATGCTCTTAACCGCTAAGCCATCTCTCCAGCCCCTCTTCTTCATTTTTTTGAGACAGTCTCACTTATATAGCCTTGGTCAGCCTGGAGCTCACTGTGCAGATTACCATATTGGTCTGGAATTCAGAGAGATCTGCCTGCCCCTGCCTCTGGAGTGCTAGGATCAAAGGTGCTCACCAATGTGCCCTTAATTCTCAGTCCTTTGTGGAAGTCTCCCCAGCTTATAATTTGGTGCCCTTTTTTATTTGATCAGTGGGACTTTTGTTATATGGCTCCATGTCTGGGTAGGCTCTCTCTTAACTGTGTTTATACATTGTAATTGTTTGTTTTCTCCAACTAATCACCGTTTTTCCTTTTCTTAGAGTAAAAGGAAGTTCTCAGACAAGTTGTTCTTTTAGAAAATTAGTTAAATAATTAATTTGTCCTTTCTTAGAGATGTCTCACTATAGCCTGGCTGGTCTGGAACTTGCTATGTAGACCAGCCTGGTCTTACAACCATAGAGATACTCCTGTATCTGCTTTCCAAGTGCTAGAATTAAAGGTGTACTCCTTGTACATTTGGCTCATTTGTCTTTTTGAGTCAGGATCTCATAGCTCAAGCTGATTTGGAACTTGAAACTTGAAATCCTTTTGTAGCTTTCTAAATCTTGGGATTGCAGGCGTGCACTACTATGACTGCATGTTTTTTTCATGTTTGTAACTTTAATGTTTAATAAAGTGTTTTTTTGACAATTAGCAATTTAGCTTTTATCAAAAAAAATCCCAAGTCTCATTCCATTGATTGGAGTTTTTTTGATAGTTTTTGTGGGTTATAGGTTATTTGCTATTAATAAAATTCCACTTTGTGTGTGTATATGTATGTGTACCTATGCCCTGTTGATGCATGTGTGTGGGTCGGAGGACACAACCTGGGTTACAGGCATGTACCACCACACTTGACTTCATACCTTCTGTCTATATAAATTCTCTCTCTCTCAGTTCTGTCTAACCTCTTCCTGCCTAGCTATTGGCCATTCAATTCTTTATTAAACCAATCAGAGGGCACCTTGGCAAAGATATATCTTCACAGTGTAAACAAATATTCTGAAACATTGATTTCTGCCCACCTTTTGTTTTGTTTTTTTGAGACATAGAATTTGTCCTGGAACTTACTCTGTAGACCAGACTGGCTTTGAACTCAGAGCCATCTGCTTCTGCCTAGTGCTGGGATCAAAGGTGTGTACCACTACCACCTGGCTTTATATTAGTTTTTCTTTTTAGCTACTTAGGTTGTTTTTTTTTTTTTAAATCTAGTTTGTTTTTTGGATTTTTTTTTTTTTTTGATACTGTCTTACTGTATATAGACTGCTAGCCTTGAACTCAGAGATGTGCTGAGATTAAAGGTTTGCAATACCACTATCCGGCTTATTTTCAAAGGTATTTTACCAAATAGTATTCTGAGAATTTTGTATCTCTTCTGCCTCTGCTTGATCCTTCAGGTGCTCTCCACTGTCAGCTGTAGGTAATTCATGGTTTTCTGGAGTATAGTACACTACAGCAACTTCATCCTCCCTGTTCTGGATGCTGTTGAGTGCTTGGTTTGCTGAGGTTGTCTACCTCTCATGCTATGCATTTTCCTTCTGTAATCCATCTCAAGTTCACTTTCTTGAACATTTTTTCCTGTTAATACTGGTGTGATCTTAACTTTTTCAGTGACCCACATTATATTTTTGTGTGTTATATTTATTATTATTTTACCTTATATGACAATTATGCATTTGCCTTATCTTCTTTAATACAGTCTTAGTCAGGGGAATTATTCTATATCTTGTGGTAACTCAAGGCTTTCTTCATTACCAATATATTTTGAATACTTAAAAACAATTTTTTTTAGATTTATTTTATGTGTATAGATGTCTTGCCTGTATGTGTGTATGTGTGTGTATATATATGTGTGTGTGTGTGCATTATGTGTGTCCAGTGCCAGAAGAAGTTATAAGAGAATATTGGATCACTGGAACTGGAGATTAGAGGATGTTGTGAGCTCCCATGTAGGTGCTCAGTACCGAACCCACGTTCTCTGCAAGAGCTGCCAGTGCTCTTAATAGCTGAGCTGTCTCTTTAGCGCCTAGAGTAGTTTGTCTTAAAGGAATTACATATTTAGTACTTGAAGGAGTATACAGTCAGGTCTTGTGTGCTCAGAAAGTACCTTCTTGAATTAATATCTGTGTTTTTTTTTAAATATTTATTTATTATGCATACAATATTCTGTCTGTGTGTATGTCTGCAGGCCAGAAGAGGGCACTAGACCTCCTTACAGATGGTTGTGAACCACCATGTGGTTGCCGGGAATTGAACTCAGGACGTTTGGAAGAGCAGGCAATGCTCTTAACCACTGAGCCATCTCTCCAGCCCCCCCCCTTTATTTTTAACTCATTGATTTTATATGTATGGATGTTTTGTGTACCTGTGCACCAGGTGCAGTGCCCTCAGAAGCCAGAAGAGGTTGTCAGATTCGTGGGGACTAGGTAGAGTTAGACAGTTGTGAGTCCCATGTGGGTACTGGAGATTGAACCTGGGTCCTCTAGAAGAGCAGACAGTGCTCTTTATCACTGAGCCATCTCTAGATTTAATGGATATATGAGCATATCTCACTTTTCCTTTTGTCTGGGTGACTGAAAAGTTTTTGTTGTGGGGAAATTGATGCAGTGTTTATTCTTGCCTTTTTAAAGTTTTCTGGGTGATGTGAAAAGACGAAGAAGGCAGGCATAGATGGGTCATAGTTATAGTAGTCTTTTTTTTTTTTCTCTTCTTGAGACAGGGTTTCTCTGAATAGCTCTGGCTGTCCTGGAACTCGCTCTGTAGACCAGGCTGGCCTGCCTCTGCCTCCCAAGTGTTGGGATTAAAGGCGTGCACCACCATGCAACAGCTGTAATAGTATTGAGGCCTGTGGCAAAGTTGGAGTTTAAAACTATTGTTAAAAGAGCTAGACTTGTTAAAGAGCTTTTCATCAAGAATATGAGGGGGAAGAGGGACAAGATGGCTCACTGGGTAAAGATGTTTGCTGCCAAGCTTGATGACCTGAGTTTGATCCTTGGTATCTACCTGGTGGATGGAAACACTAAATCACTCAGACAAAATAACTATGTAGCAAGCTCCAAGACCTTTTAAATTTTTGCCTGGGACTAGCGCTGGTTTTATAATTATCATTATAGATAAAGCAAACCATATGCTCTAATTGAAAATAGATTTCAAGGAGGGGTGGTCGTGGCACACGCCTTTAATCCCAACACTTGGGAGGTAGAGGCAGGTGGAGCTCTGTGAATTTGAGGCCATCCTGATCTATAGAGTGAGTTCCAGGACAGCCAGGACTTACACAGAGAAACCCTGTCTCAAGAAACCAAAACCAAACCAAAACAAAACAAAAAGCCAAGACAAAACAAAAAAATCAACAAGAAAAAGAAAATAGATTTCAAATTCATTTGTAAAAGCAAAGAAACATTCTTGTTTTAGCGGAGTGTCAATAGTGATCTTAACTGAAGTCTTGATTAAGGCAGAAAGAACTCTGGAGGTAGGGAAAATTCTGGTCCTAGTAGCCGATACATGATTTTGTGAAAATCACTTGTCTCTTTTAGTGGTATTTTGCTTATTATTATTATTTTAATTTTATGTGCATTTGTGTTTTGCCTTTATGTATGTCTGTCTGTGTGAGGGTGTCAGATCCCTTGGAACTGGAGTCACATGTAGTTGTGAGCTGCTTTGTGGGTGCTGGGAATTAAACGTAGGACATCTGGAAGAGCAGCCAGTGCTTTCAACCACTGAGTCATCTCTAGCCCCTCAGATATTTATTGCAGTACTGCATTTATAATTTCTCAGCATTCATTTTGTGAATTTGAAAAGTATTCCAGGTAAAACTGATGGACATTTCTTAGCCTCACAAGTCACATGTGACTTAAGATTATTAAATTTTCCTTGTTAAAAATATTCAACAAAATATTTCAGTTTGCCTGGTCTATAGAGTGAGTTCCAGCAAAGCCAGGTTTCTTTATAAGAAACCCTGTTTCAAAAAAAAACAAAAACAAAACAAAAACCCAAAAATTACACACAAACACACACACACCATGTATATATTACTTATATTGTAACTATATATAACATTATATATACTACACACTATATATATATATACTATACACTATGTACATACACACATATATACATACCCATATCCTTCCTGTCTGTCTGTCTGTCTGTCTGTCTATCTATCTATCTATCTATCTATCTCTATCTTCAGTTCACCCCTATCTATCTATCTATCTATCTATCTATCTATCTATATTCAGTTCACTCATATCATGAATATATCTTGAGTTTGGCTTTTCAGAACACAACACAAACTCTAAGGTTGTGATTGATTTGATTTGCTTTTAGTTCAGTTTTTCTTCTGTTTTACCATTGTTTGAAGTCTATTGTGCTTAGCATTAAAAATTAGATAGCCACCAGGGGGCTTCATTGAGGAGTTAGGAAGGTTTCGGCTTCAGTGAGGAGTGAGGAAGGTTTCATTGATCTCATTGTAGTGAATTGTCTTAATGTTATTTTTGTTTGCTTAATGAGCTTGTCAATCCTTTTTTTTTTTTTTTTTTTTTTTTTTTTTTTGGTTTTTCGAGACAGGGTTTCTCTGTGGCTTTGGAGCCTGTCCTGGAACTAGCTCTGTAGACCAGGCTGGTCTCAAACTCACAGAGATCCGCCTGCCTCTGCCTCCCGAGTGCTGGGATTAAAGGCGTGCGCCACCATCGCCCGGCTGTCAATCCTTTCATGTTAGATTATTTCCTTCAGTTTTCTTCCCTTACAGCATGTCTCAGGAGAACTTTGCATTTATATAAGAATCCATTGCATTAGCAGTTCTCCAGAAAGTTCAGTTTTCTTTTCATTGCCTTGTATTCTTTAATCCTGAATAGAGCAACCTTAATAAAAACAAAAACAAAAACTTAACTCCTGGAAGCCATAGAAAAGCTACAGTCTGTCAAAGCTAGGATGTTTTGGGTACCCAAAGGCATGTACTGTCTCACATAGAATGCTATATTTTGTTACTTTGTATATCTTACTACTGTTTGGGTGCCAGACAGCTTGGGATTCAGAGCTCTTTTAAATGTGTTAGGCAATTCTATGCTCTTCTCTTTTACAGTATCTATTTTTCCTGTATGAATGATAATAAATTGGCTAGTTGTGTTTAATGATTAAGAGCAAGCTAGATGTTTTGAGCCTTACCGCTAACTTTAAGGAACAAGACTTTTTGTTGTTTTCCAGACAGGGTTTTTCAGTATAACAACTCTGGCTGTTTTGGAACTCTGTTTGTAGACCAGGCTGGCCTCAAACTCAGAGATTCTCCTGCCGTTTCTTCCGAGTACTGAGATTAAAGGTGTGCAATATTACTGCCTGGCAGGAACAAGGCTTTTTTGTGCTTGGAATTTCACCTCTTTTTTACTAGCATAGTCATAGTATTTTATTTTACTCTTTTCAACTATTCAGGAAGAGATTTGTACTTTAAAGATACCTATGATGCCAAAAAAAAAAAAAAAAAAAGGTATTCCAGGGCTATATAAGGTAGAAGAGAAAGCTTTTTTTTAAAGGCAGGGTTTTTCTACATATCCCTGGCTGTCATGGAACTCACTATGTAGATCAAGCTGGCTGGCCTGGAACTCATAGGGGATCTTCCTGCCTCTTCCTCCCAAGTTTTGGGACTAAAAGTGTGCATGTACCACCGTGCTGGGCCAAAGAAAAAATTTTAAGAGCCAAGTTGATTCTTTATCATAGTATAACCATTAAATGTTGAGATATGGTGGGCAAGTATACTACAGACCAGCTCTTAAAAAGAAATATGGGGCTAGAGAGATGGCTGCTCTTCCAGAGGTCCTGAGTTCAGTTCTCACAACCATCTTTAGTGGGGGTCTGATACCCTCTCCTTGCATAAAGGCATACATACAGATAGAGCACTTACACACAAAAACAAACAAATAATTAAATCGTAAAAAGATATTGAAGTATGGTAGGCCAGCATACTATACATGCTAAATAGAGCAAAATGTGGATTCAGAAAGGAGGGAGCTAAAGGCTTAGTGCTTCCAATGTAGTTAGTTGGAAGGAGGTAAGGACGTCATGTTACATGTATTTGGAAGAAGGCGAGGACATCATGTTACATGTATTATTTTCTTCCAGGTCGAGCTATGTTTAGAGTGCATCGAATGGGCCAAATCAGAGAAAAGAACTTTCTTACGCCAAGCATTGGAGGTAGGTGCCTGCCTTAGCATTGACTGGAGATATGCAGCTTTAGATAGATAAGCTGTGAGTATACGTACCATCCTGACAGAGCATCTTGAGTAGCTCAGTATCACCCTGTCACCTGAATATTGTTGATAGTGCTTCTAGTTACGGAAATGTCCCTGGTAGAAGTATTTATTTTTTTTAAAACATGACAACATCTTATTCTAGAGCTCAGCATGGCTTCAGACTTTTGGCAAACTTCTTGTCTCAGTTTCCTAAATTCTGGGATTATAGGTGTTAGCCACTGTGCCTGGATCTAAATTTTTCTTTTTTTTTCCTTTGAGACAGGGTTTCTCTGTGTAGCCTTGGCTGTCCTGGAATTTGTTCTGTAGACCTGTCTGGCCAAGAACTCAGAGATCTGTCTGTCTTTGTACCAACACACCTGGCTAAATTTTTCTTTTAAACTATTTTTATTTCTTTTTGAACTTTTGAGACACTTTGGCTGGTTGAGTGTAGAAAATAAGCTGCAGTATGGTATAGTATAGTTAATGGTCATTTGGCCACAATAAGAAATAGGACTGGGATGTAATCTACTTGTTATGTCCCACCTTGTTATCAGAACATGTATATTCAACAGTTATCGTTCTGTGACTGTCATTCGTTAATTTCTTTCTGTGGATTTCCTCCTATTTCCTTCAGTCAATGCCTTTTCTCTTTCCTAGGCAAGGTTGGTGTCTTTGTATTTTGATACTAAGAGGTACCAGGAAGCATTGCATCTGGGTAAGTAAACTGGTAGAAATTAATAAGGCATCTAATTTAAGATAACTAAACAAGTTTATTCCAAACTCGGTTATTATTGTTAATAATCATATTTTACTTGTGTCTAAAAAGCATTTCAGGTAGTTAACATTCATAAAATCTGTCACAGTAAAGTTCTATTTCAAAGTTTTGAAAAACTAGCATGGTGGCGCATGCCTTTAATTCCAGCACTCGGGAGAGGCAGGTGGATCTCTGTGAGTTCGAGGCCAGCCTGGTCTACAAAGAGAGTTCCAGAAAGCCAGAACTGTTAAACAGAGATACCGAGTCTCGATAAACAAACAAATAAAAAACCCAACCAGCCAACCAACCCCCCCCCCCAAAAAAAAATCAGAAATACTGGGGTGGAAGTTAGCTCGGTGCTAGAGCAGCTCTGGGTATAAAGTTCTGGGAAGCCAGCTGGGGCTAATTTTACAAAACAGACATCAGTTTTAAGCTTTAAATTTAGAGCAGTAAGAGCCTTACCACTGAAATAGTAGCTGAGATTTCTTTTTTAGTCTCTTTATTTTATATAAAATACCTTACCAAATTTCAGATTTAATTTTTTTGTGATTACTACATTTTAATCTATTTGGTTTTTCTTTTTTTTTATTAATTATTTTTTTGGCGGGTGGGGGTTTTGAGACGGGGTTTCTCTGTAGCTGTTGAGTCAGAGTCTCTCTGTGTGTCCTTGGTATCTTGGATCTTGCTCTGTAGACCAAGCTGGTGTTGTTTTTAAACAAAATCTCAATTGTTTGATTTTTATCAGTAAAGACTTGGGAGTCAAGTCAATCTTGGCGTGAAAGCCTGCTAGTTCAGTGTGGCAGGAAAGCACCCAGCTCACCTTCCTCTTCTGCTGTTCTCCCAGAAAGAGACCAAAAGAATGTCCCTTTCTTCTCCTTCCTGTGTGTCTCTCTTTCTCCTTTTGTCCTCCTGACTCCCTCTTACTCTCTATGGTTTTTTTCTTAATAATCCTATGTTCACTTCTGTCAAATGATTGCTTGCTCCCTTTCTTGAGCTATGGTTGACTTTATTTAATCCTGTTTACAATAAGCAGAAAGCTCTTAGATTAAAGGGTTAAAGTTGTGCTAGGGCTGAGCCACACTACAACTAGAAACAGGTTTTTCCAGTAAATAATGCAATCTTGGGGTTAACAGTATGATCAAATATCCTGCAGTAGGCTGGTTTTGAACTCCACCTGCCTCTGCCTCCCCAGCACTGGGATTAAAAGTGTGGGTCACCATGCCTCGAATTTTACATTGTTCTAGTCTCTAGGGGTTGAACTCAGGATCCCAAGTTTGTGTGGCAAACACTTTATGGACTGAGTGAGCTCCCCAACCCCCAAAATTCACCTTCCAAAGTTATATGTATACTTCAGTAATTTTTTTCCTAGAAATGTATTCACTAAGTTGTGCAGTGACCATCCCTAATTTCAGAACATTTCCATCACTTCAGAAAGAAGCCATCAGCTGTCACTATTCATGAATTCTTCATTCTTCACCCCATTTCCCAAGCCATAGACATTACTGTTTGCTTTTTGTACATATCTTCCTGTTTAGGGCAGTTCATATGAATGGAGTCATATAATATGTGGTCATCTTCTGCTTAGCATAATTATTCTCAGTATTCACCAATGTTGTCACATGTGTCAGTTGCTAAGTAAGTAATAAGTTGTCCTTTGGATGGATTGTGTGTGTGTGCGCACGCGTGCGTTCACATACATGAGTGTATATGCATATGTGTGGAGGCCAGTGATTGATGCAGGGTGTCTTCCTCAATCATTCATTGTCCTTCTTAGTTTCGAGATTAAGGGTCTTTCGGTCTTTCACTGAATATGGTATTGGGTGGATTAGCTAGACTTGAGGGCCACTGAATTACAGGAGTCCTTTTACGTCTTTCCAGTAACCTTTTACTTGGGTGCTGGAGCTCTAAACTCATGTTTGTGTAGAAGCACTTCACCAACTGAGCAGTCTCCCCAGCCCATGGCTGTAGCTTATTCATTGCTTGACAGACTTGTATTCTTTCCCTTTTTGTTTCTAGAATACTGTTTTGTTACTAGAACCTGTTTTTGTTTCAAATTCTGGCCTATATAAGTGGGCTTACTGGGTCAAGTAATAGCTATAGTTTTTTGAAGAGCAACCAAACTGTTTCCCAAGTGGCAGAAACATCTTCATCAATACTATCTTTTACTATAGTTTTCCGTTTTTAAATAATTTACTTTTATTTTTTGTGTATTAGTAATTTGCCTGCATGTATGTCTGTGTAAGGGTATTGGATCTCCTGGAGTTGAAGTTACACAGATATTCTGAGCCACCATGTGGGTACTGGGAATGGAACCTGGGTCCTCTGGAAGAACAGCCTTATAAGATGGCTTTGAGCCATCTCTCCAGCCCTTATAGTTTTCTTAATGTATATAAAGTAGGATTTCCTTATATGTGTGTGTGTGTGTTTTGTTTGTTTGTTTTGGTTTGGTTTCGCAAGACAGGGTTTCTCTGTAGCTCACACAGATGCCATACACATATACTCACTCAAATAGATAAACCAATAAATAAATGTGAAAACTTATGAGTAAAAAACTAAGGGAAAACACATTGCTTTGGGAATTCCCTGTTTCTGCCTACTGAGTCCTGTGATTATAGATGTGAGTTGACATGCCTGATGAGTTTTTTCATTTTATTGATGGTATTTTTTTTGGCGGGGGGGGGGGGTTGAGATAGGGTTTGGAGCCTGTCCTGGAACTAGCTCTTGTAGACCAGGCTGGTCTCAAACTCACAGAGATCCGCCTGCCTCTGCCTCCCGAGTGCTGGGATTAAAGGTGTATGCCACCACCGCCAGGCTATTGATGGTATTTTTTAAAGTAAGTTCTGTGCCAGCAAATGGCTCAGCAGGTAGAGGTGTTTGCATGCAGGCCCGAGGACCATGCGGTGGCAGGTGAGAACTGACTCCCAGGAGTTGTCTTCTGACTTCCACATGCTTGCTGTGCCACTACCGGGCTTGGGCCTGTGCATGTGTGCACAGCAAATAAAGTGTCCTTAAATTATAATAATATCCTATTTATCTATTCCACTTTCTTTTGTTTCTGCTTTTCAAGTGCTGGGTTTAAAGTTGTGCACCACCACACCTGGCTCTGTTTTAGAGGATTTATAGTTGATCGATCTCTCTCTCTCTTTCCTCTTTCTCTCCTTCCTTCTTTCCTTCTTTCCTTTCCTTCCCTTCCTTCCTTCCTTCCTTCCTTTTCTTTTCTTTTATCTCTCTCTCTCTCTCTCTCTCTCTCTCTCTTATCTGCCTTTCTGTCTGTCTGTCTCTGTCTCTCTGTAGCCCATGTTGGTCTGGAGTTAATTATATAGCCTAGTCTGGCTTCTTGCTCATACTCCTGTTTTAGCCTCCTAAGTGTTAACAGTGACAGGCATGCACCACAAAGTTTTAGTTCTTCTATTTATGCCTTTTATCCATCTGAAGTTAATTTTTTTAAAAAGATTTATTTATTTATTATGTATACAACATTCTGCCTCGATGTATGCCTGCATGCCAGAGGAGGGTGCCAGATCTCATTACAGATAGTTGTGAGCCACCATGTGGTTGCTGGGAATTGAACTCAGGACCTCTGGAAGAGCAGCCTCTTAACCTCTGAGCCATCTCTCCAGCCCCCTGAAGTTAATTTTTGTACATGGTATAAATGATCTGTTATTCTCTTCTGAGATGGAGAAATAAGGTGTATTTGAAGAATATTGGCATATTATAAAAGTTCTCTCTTCCCCATGAGGTCTTGTACCCTGATTTCTTTTTATTTTAGCTAGTTAAGGCAGTTTCTCACCATGTAGCCCAATCACTTATTAACATTCTGTCACAACTCTCCAAGTTCTGAGATTGCAGCCGTGCCTTTACCATGCCTGCTTCCCATGTTTTTCAAAAAGTTACAGCCCTTTGATTGCTGGATAGGGGAGACTGTCACTGTAAATCTTAGGTGTGAGTGTATAGAACTCTTAGCTCCAGTGTTGTGTTTAGAATAAACGCTTCAGAGATAATGTAGTTTTCTTTTGAAAACACATTAGAGGAAAATTTAATTCTTTCATGGGCTGTGAAGCTAACTTGTATGAGTTTTGGAGGGTTTCTTTATATTATTGCCATTATGAGTAGAGAGTAAGATTTTATGGTATATGTTAAGATTAAGACTAACAAGGGAATCTAGACAAAATGCCAGCTCCAAGGCATGTAGTTACAGAAGGACCATGGGGTTTGTTAACTTCTAGCTTAGGTGAGAAAATGGGAGCTCCAGGTTCAGGAAGAGACCTTGCGTCAAAGAAATATGCAGAAAAGGCCGGGTAGCGTTGGCGCACACCTTTAATCCCAGCACTCGGGAGGCAGAGGCAGGCGGATCTCTGGGAGTTCGAGGCCAGCCTGGTCTACAAGAGCTAGTTCCAGGACAGGCACCAAAGCTACAGAGAAACCTTGTCTCGAAAAACAAAACAAAACAAAAAAAGAAATATGCAAAAAGTGATGGAGGATAGTCGATGTCCTCTTTTGGTCTCTGTGCACAGAGATCTACCTGTACATACATGTGCATATATATTTACAAAGACAATAATCACAAGTTTAAAACGAACCTTTCTTTTTTTTTTTTAAATATTTATATATTTATTTATTTATTTATTCATTATGTATATAATAATCTGTCTGCATGTATGTCTGCAGGCCAGAAGAGGGCACCAGACCTCATTACAGATGGTTGTGAGCCACCATGTGGTTGCCGGGAATTGAACTCAGGACCTTTGGAAGAGCAGGCAATGCTCTTAACCACTGAGCCATCTCTCCAGCCCGAACCTTTCTTTTTTATAATAAGAAGATTATGTGTATGAGTATTTGTCTGTGTGTGTGTGTGTATGTGTGTGTATATGTACTGTGTGTGTGCCAGGCACCCAAAGAGTCCAAAGGGAGATATTGGATCCCCTGGAACTGGAGCTGTAGATGGTTGTGAACCACCAAGGGGTCCTGGTCTTAACCTGAACCATCTCTCCAGCCCCAAACAAATCTTTTTTTTTTTTTTTTTCGAGACAGGGTTTTTCTGTGGCTTTGGAGCCTGTCCTGGAACTAGCTCTGTAGACCAGGCTGGTCTTGAACTCACAGAGATCCACCTGCCTCTGCCTCCCGAGTGCTGGGATTAAAGGCGTGCGCAACCATCGCCCGGCTTCCAAACAAATCTTTGTTTAGGGGAAAAAAGAGGCTGGTGTGGCAGTTTAGACTACTTTAGACCAGCTTGGTTTTCATGGTGAATTCCAGGCTATTCAGAGCTGTATTGTAAGTCTCTATATTTGCTTGTTTGTTTTTGTTTTTCAAGACAGGGTTTTTCTGTGTCCTGGCTGTTCTGGAACTCACTTTATAGATCTGGCTGGCCTCGAACTCACAGAGATCCACCTGCCTCTGCCTCCCGAGTGATAGGAAAAAAGGATGATGGTGGTAATGAGACTAACAAACAGATATATGCATATTTTCTCCTCTTCTAGGTTCTCAGCTGCTGCGGGAATTGAAAAAGATGGATGATAAAGCCCTTTTGGTGGAAGTACAGCTTTTAGAAAGCAAAACATACCATGCTTTGAGTAATCTGCCGAAAGCCCGAGCTGCCTTAACCTCCGCTCGAACCACAGCCAATGCCATCTACTGCCCCCCTAAATTGCAGGCCACTTTGGACATGCAATCAGGTAAGTGGCCCAGCAGTGCATAAGATGCACGTCCTTATCTTATGGGTGAAAGGAATGGGGGTGGGACTGAAGCTGGAAAATAATTGACTGATTTAAGAAACACGAGAAGGCTGCCTTTCAAGCCAGCTTCTTCCTATTAACTGCCTAAAACAATTAAGAACATACTTGTCAGTTGGGCAGTGGTGGCACACGCCTTTAATCCCAGTACTTGGAAGGCAGAGATAGGTGAATCTGAGTTCGAAGCCAGCCTGGTCTACAGAGTGAGTTCCAGGACAGGCTCCAAAGCTACAGAGAAACACTGTCTCGAAAAACCAACCAAACAAACAAAAAAAACCCATAGTTATCAGTGCTTGTCTAGGCAACCTGACTGTCAGCCATTCGTTAGGGTTCTCACTTAATTTATCTTTTAGTCACTTACTAAGAATGGTAGCATTTCTTTTCCAGACTGGCCTACCTTATGTGTGTTAACCAAATCTATTAGTCTCTTAGAGACTTTTGGAAACTTGTAGAATTTTTTTGAATGGGCTTCATGTCAGGACTGTTGGAAGATAATCCTGATTTCAGATGCCCTACCTTTACACTTGTGTGTCTCTTCTGCAAACTTTCTTTGTCATTCTTTCTTGTTTTTTACACAGAATCTCATGTAGCTCTAGAACCAGGCTGGCCCTCAACTCACAGATTTGCCTTTGTTGGCTTCCTTTTTTTGCTTTTGAGCTAACTTACCAAAATATATTTTTAAAAAAAATTTTTAAGATTGATTTTTATTTCATATGAATGGTGTTTTGCCTGCATGTATGTGTACTTCATGTCTGCCAGGTGCCCAAAGAGGCCAGAAGAGGGCATTGGATTTCCTGGAACTGGAGTTACAGATGGCTGTGAGCCACCATTTGGGTGTTGGGCACTGAATTTTCTGCCAGAACAGGTGTTCTTTACAGTTCCCCAAAATTTATTCTTTTATACACACTATCGTACTAAGTTCGTTAGGAGCCTTGTTGGTATATTTTCTGCTTGGCACGTGGAAGACTCCCTTTAATGTTTGTATTGAACGACTGTGGGATTTTGCTTTTAAAAGTAAACATATTCAGGCTGGAGAGATGGCTAAGCAGTTAGAAATGCATTGGGCAGCCCCTAATTCTAGCTCTAGGGAATTTGGTGCCATCTTTTGGCCTTTCTGGGCATCTGTACAAACACTCAGATAAAAAAATAATCTAAAAACAAAAAGGATCCTAATTTAAGAGGGACATACATGGTTGGTTCTACGTAAAAAGGAGAAAAAGGCAAGATCTCCTGAGTAAATTGGAAGCGTGGGGGTCATGGGGGAGGGGAGGAAGGGAGGAGAAAAATGTATAGCTTAATAAAAACAATAAAAAATGAAGTCTTTAAAAAGTAAACATAAGCAGCCGGGCGGTGGTGGCGCACGCCTTTAATCCCAGCACTTGGGAGGCAGAGGCAGGCGGATCTCTGTGAGTTCGAGACCAGCCTGGTCTACAAGAGCTAGTTCTAGGACAGGCTCCAAAACCACAGAGAAACCCTGTCTCATAAAACCAAAAAAAAAAAAAAAAAAAAAAAGTAAACATAAGCAAATTGTAATACTGTTGATGTGACTTTTCTTGTTAATGTTTCCAAGAAAACAGTATATTTGTCTTTGGGGCCTTGTTCGGTCTCTCTCCCTTTCTCTCACCACTCCTCTCCCTTTCCCTCCCTCCCTCTCTCCCTCCTCCCACCCTTCTTTCCTTTCTTTTTAAAGATACCGTCCTACATTATAGTCTCTGCTGACTTTGAACTTAGAATTCTCCTTCCTCAGCCTCCTGAGTGCTGATGAGTGCTGTGGTTATGAGCACACATATAGTGCTTGGCTCACTTTTTTTCCTCCAGCCAGACTTATTGGACTGACTTATTCTGCTCTATTGATATCCTGGGAGAATATGGGGGAAATTCTGATATTCATTAAGCTCGGCAACTTTAGCAGTTTGTTGTGTCTTCCAAGATTATTTAGAGCTGGGCAGTGGTGGCACACACCTTTAATAACAGCACTGGAGAGGCAGAGGTAGGCAGTTTTCTGTGTGTTTCAAGGCCAGCCTAGTCTAAAGTGAGTTCCTGGACAGGTATGGCTGTTAAAAAGAGAAGCCCTGTCTCAAAAAAACAAAAACAAACAAACAAAATGATTTATTTAGTTCTGTTTTGTGTGTGGGAGTCTTTTGCCTTCATGCATAGTCTATGTACCACATGCACGTCTGGTGGCCACTGAGGCCGGAAGAGGGTGTTGAATCCTCTGGAACTGGAGTTACAGATGGTTGTGAGCTACCATATGGATTCAGGGAATTGAACTCGTCCTCTGGAAGAGCAGTCAGCGCTTTTAACTGCTGAGCTGTCTCTCCTCCTTGGCTGTAGAGAGATGTATATTTTCCTATAGGCAAAATCACATCCAAAATGAGGTATATTTGAAATGAAAGTAATAACATATTGGGGAATATTACCAATCAGGAAAACTGCTTCAGTGTGAAAATTCTAAATTTAGCTAGGCGTAGGACCTACCTTTAGTCTCAGCAGTTGGAGGTAGAGGAAGCCAACCTGATCTACATGGTGATCCAGGACTGCCAGAGCTACATAGTAAGACAATGTCTCATCAAAAAATCTAACAACACCACCAAACTCAGCATAGAAAAAGCTAGTAGTTCTTTTTTGTTTTTTTTTTTTGTTTTTGTGAGCTCTATGTAGCCCTGGCTGTCCTGAAACTTACTCAGTAGTAGACCAGCTCATTTTGGACTCCGAAATCCACCTGCCTCTGCCTCTCGAGTGCTGGGAGTAAAGGCTTGTGTCACCACTACCACCTGGCATGATTTTTTTTTTTAATTTTGTTGCTTTGCTTTTGAGATATAATCTCATAAATCCCAGGATGACCTTAAAATTGGTGTGTAGCTGAGGATGATCTTGAACTGTGGTCTTCCTGTTTCTATCTCCAAGTGCTAGGATTACAGATGTTTGACACCACGTCCAGTTTAGTGCTGGGGCTTGAATGCAGGACTTTGTATGTACTAGTCAAGCATTTTACATCCCAGTCCAGAGTTGATGCTATTAATTGAGGTCGTTCATGTGTTCTGGGCATGTGTGGGTCAGTTCACTGGCCTGATATGATGGAGCCTTAATGTTTGTTTAGTGCTGGTAGGAATAGGTGGTAAGTAGCATGGTTTTTTTTTTTTTTTTTTTTTTTTTTTTTTTGGTTTTTTGAGACAGGGTTTCTCTGTAGCTTTGGTGCCTGTCCTGGAACTAGCTCTTGTAGACCAGGCTGGCCTCGAACTCCCAGAGATCCGCCTGCCTCTGCCTCCCGAGTGCTGGGATTAAAGGCGTGCGCCACCACCGCCCGGCCAGTGTGAGGTTTTTAGGGTTCCTTTTTAATTGGGTCTCTTACTCCTTTGGTGATTTAAAAAGGTGGGTGCTGATCAGAGGCCAGAGACCTGGGGCTCTAATGTCAGCTTTGTTGGCTATGACCTGGGGCGGTTCCTTTGTCTTCACTTGAGGTCATTAGTAACTTGTTCCTGTTGGAGTCAGTTTCTAAGGGATTTACAGGTCTCTTCTAGTTCTACTATTTTGTTTTTTTCTTCTTTCTTTTCACTCTCCAGGTATTATTCATGCAGCAGAGGAGAAGGACTGGAAAACTGCTTACTCATACTTCTATGAGGCATTTGAAGGCTATGACTCCATTGATAGCCCCAAGGCCATCACATCTCTGAAGTACATGTTATTGTGCAAAATCATGCTCAACACGTAAGTGTACATTAACTGTAGGATATAAGAACTCTAGTCTTTCAACCAAGTTTGTGCTATAGCAGAAGTGGCTTGGGAGGGAGTTTGGCCACTCATAAATGCAAAGTTAGCTGCAGGCTGTGGGGCTGGTTCACGTAGAGTGGCTGGTCAGAGGTGCACCACATCTCTTTTGCTTGCCTAGTCTTTCAGATTTGGGGAGACATTTTAGAAATTAATTAAGTAGAAATTTTTCTTGGAGAATTTCTTATTTTTCAAATATTTTGTCCTCATAGGTATGGAACACAGGACAGAGCTCAGGAGATAGCTGATAGGCCAGTGTTAGTCAACTGGCCAACCTGAATGGGGAGCATGGAGCCCAGGAAATATTTGAATAACTGGGCTATAAAAGGCATGATAATTTAGTGGTGGTAGGATCTGAATCCTGTGCGTCATGCATGCTAGATAAATGCTATGTCCCTAACCTAGGGTCGTGATTTTAAAATCATCTAATTGTATATTTTTTATTATTGCTGCTGTTGTTGTTATTATTATTTGAGGGGATACACCAGGGGACGCAGGATCTCATGTTGTTCAGGCCGGCATTATCTTTTTTTTCTTTCCTTCCACTGTCTTGGAACTCAGAGAAATCTGCTTGCCTCTGCCTCCCAAGTGCAGGGATTAAAGGCTTATGCTACCACCTCCCACTGGCCCTAACCTTTTTGAAAATATTTTTTTTTTTATATTTTTTTATTTTTATTTTTTTGGTTTTTCAAGACAGGGTTTCTCTGTGGCTTTGGAGCCTATCCTGGAACTAGCTCTGTAGACCAGACTGGTCTCGAACTCACAGAGATCTGCCTGCCTCTGCCTCCCGAGTGCTAGGATTAAAGGTGTGTGCCCAGCCTTGAAAATATATTTTTGAAATTTGTTTTTATTTTATGTGTACAAGTGTTTCTCCTGATTATATGTGTGTGCACCACTTGCATGTCTGGTGTCCAGAAGGCCAGAAGAATGCATCAGAACTCCTGGAATTGGAGTTACAAATATCTGTGAGCATCCATGTAGATGTTGGGAATTGAACCCAGGTCCTTACAAGAGTAACAAGTGCTCTTAACAACCAAACCATTTCTCTAGCCCTGCTCAACTTTTTATGTAGATAAGAATGATGTTGGTGGCACACTTCTGCTGTCTAGAATGTTGGAATTGCAGACATGAGCTACCAGTACTGGGAAATAAATCCAGGGCTTAATGTATGCCAGGCAAATATTCTACCAACTGAGCTGCATCCCCCGCCCCAGGGCCGTGTTGTTTTAGCAAGACCCACTATGCTGAGATTTGACTCAAACTTACTATTCTGCCTTTTGATTTAGGGGTGGGGTTCAGTTGGGCTTTCTGTCTATCTTTCTGTCATTCTCTCTTTTTCTTTCTCACTCTCTTTCTCTCTTGCCCTGTCTTTCTCTCTCTCTTCCTTCTTCCCTCCCTCTCTCTTTCCCTCTTTTCCTCCCTTCCAAGAACTTACTACATTGACCAGGCTGACTTTGAACTCATAGAGATCTGTCTGCCTTTGCCTCTATAAGGTATGTGCTACCACACTCAGCTGTCCATCTCTTTAATGTTGGGAGGTTTTTACTTTTCACTGCTAGCTTTGGCCAAGAGTGAAGAAACCTGACTGCTGCAGTGTTGGCACATACGAGTTTAGTTGATTTTTCAGTGTGGATGAATCTTCACAATGGAATTCTGGTAAATAGTTCACCTATCTATGATTAGAATGCAATGTCCTGGAGCAGTTGACCAAGTATGTCTTTTTTTTTTTTTTTGTAGCCCTGAAGATGTCCAGGCTTTGGTGAGCGGAAAGCTTGCACTTCGGTATGCAGGGAGGCAGGTAGGGAATGCCGTGACTGCAGTCTGCTCTGAGACCAGCTGATTGTCAAATTCATAATGTGTGATGGTACCAGTGTTCCTCAGGTCTCCATCTTACCTTCCCCACCCATTGTTTTCTTCCCTGTAGTAATAGGAGCGGCGGGGCTGCGTCCCAGCACCCCGGCCGCCTGGCTAGCTTATGCCCCAAAATAACAACACACAAATTGTATTCATTTAAACACTGCTTGGCCCTTTAGCTCTAGCCCTTACTGGCTAATTCTGATATCCCGATCAGCCCATCTCTAATAATCTGTGAGCACCGGTCTTACCGGGAAGATTCTAGCCTACGTCCATCCTGGGTTGGAGCTTCATCGCGTGTGTCTGCCCGGGAGCGGGGCATGGTGTCTCTGCTCCAGTCTGAGCTCACTTCCTCTTCCTCCCAGCATTCTGTCCTGTTTGCTCCTCCCACCTATGTTTTAACCTATGGGGGCAAGCAGTTTCTTTATTGCTTAACCAATGAAATCAACAGATTGATATATGACACTCCCACATCACTTCCCTTCAGCTCATTCATTAGACTTTCTTTACTGTTAAATTCTTGGCCTAGAAAGTAAGTGTTGGACTCTGTTACACGTAATTTGAGGGGCTTATAGAAGTATATTGTAGCATTTGCTGATAGGCTACAATTTATCTTTGGTCATATCTTTCTGTTGTGAGCCTCGCTTGCAAGTAGAACCAGTGAATCTCACATCTTGATTCTCTGAGTCAGGAACCTGGTGAGATCTGGTTCATGCATGCTTGCAGGGAGGCCAGATTACTTGGTGTAAGAACTAGAGTTTGAGTGTTATTAGCTTATTATCTTTCCGTTCATACTGTGAATCTGAATATAGTTTAAAAAGAGTCCATTGATGGTTGATCATCCTTTTATATTGAGTAGAATGGCTTTTTAGAGCACACAGTTGTCAGGATAATGTCTGAGATATTAGGTATTTGTCCTATCTGCAGTTTGTTGTAGTTAAATAAAAGTGGTTATTCTGAATTTCAGGTAGAGTTGTCTCTAAACAATGAACAGATTAGCTATCTCCCTAAATCTGTGGCGTACAAAAACTGATTTCCTTTTTCTCTGTAAGTGGTCCTAATTGGTTTTTCCTTCAGTAAAAGTTTCAAGTCAGTTGTAGTTCTGACTTCAGGAACACTGGCTTTTATTGTAGAGCCTTTTCTCATAAGAACTGGAGTTGAGCTGGGTGGTGGTATAGCACTTGGGAGGCAGAGACAGGTAGATCTCAGTGAGTTCGAGGTCAGCCTGGTCTACAAAGCGAGTTTCAGGACAGCCAGGACTACACAGAGAAACCGTCTCGAAAAACAAACAAACAAACAAAAAACCAAAACCAAAAACGCGAGCAAAACAAAACAAAAAACTGGAGGTGAAGCCTGAAGCCAGATGTGGTGGCACACACCTTTAATCCCAGCATTAGGGAGGCAGAGTTAGTTCTAGGCCAGCCAGAGCTACAGAGAAGGCCCTGCCTCAAAACTAAACCAAAAAACCAAGAAACAGAAACAAAAACCAAGCCTGGAATTGTAGAGTTGAGACAGGACCTGCAAATATCCAGAACAAGGACAGGTAGCTGAGAGTGGTGGGCACAGATTTGAACTTTGGTTATCTGACTCTGAGTTCCAGAGTGTTCTCATTATGACATTTTTTTTTGTCTGTAAGGCAGATGCTAGAGACAAACTATGCTCCTCACAGCGTGTGCCATTTAGTCTGCAATATAGTGTTTTTATGCGTGTAGACTGACACATAGTAGCTTCCTCTGTTCCTTTGTGCCTCAGTGACAGCTCTCACAAGAAGTCAGGCTGATCTAGAAAGACAGGCACTGAGTGGAGACGTGATAATTTGCCAGGTACCCTTTTATAACCAAGTTAGACACTTCTTGTGGTCATTGTACATTCAGTTTTGGCACGATGTAGGGTTTTAATATTCAGTTGTAATATGTGGACTACTAATACCTGAACCCCAGTGCAGACCTCACTCAGTCAATATCTTGTATCAAAGCTAGCACAGTGAACCTTGACAAAGGCCAGGGATTATCAGGTTTGAGGGCAGAAAGAAATGGGTAGGTGTGGAGTAAGGAGAAAGAAATCATAATTCTCTTGTTATTTTCTCTTTAAGCTTAGTTTCTCTAGAGAATCCTTATCCGGGTCTATCCTTTTGGGAAACTTCTATTTAAGTCACTTTACATTTCAAAGGGTTGTATGGTTGGCATACAATAATATTCAATACTTCTGGCTTTTCTTCCAAGACTCTTAAAAAAGAGTGATGTGGGGATAAGTTACTGTTTTTATAAGAGGTGCTTATGAGACCTTGGATATATGTGAGCATTCAGGACAGATTGCTTTCATGATTTTTTTTTTATTTATTTAAATTCTCAGACAGAAGCATTGAAATGTGTGGCTCAAGCTAGCAAAAACAGATCACTGGCAGATTTTGAAAAGGTGAGTGTGGTATTGAATTGATGGGGAATGGGTGGAGATAAAGGCCATTGAAGAACAATTTCAATTGGGTAGTGCTAACACTCCAGCACATGGGAGGTAGAGACAAGCAGATTTCTGTGAGTTCGAGGCCAGCCTGGTCTGCAGAAGGAGTTCCAGGACATCCAGGGCTACACAGAGAAACCCTGACTCAAAAACCAAAACAAACAAAACCCTCAAAAAGTTTCTAAGTTGCAAAGATAGTACATGTTGATCCCATGTCCTCTTTCCCCAGAACCATATCAAAACCAGGAAATAGTTTTGTATAGTGAGTAACATGTTGAGCTATATTAAATTCATTTGTGTATACTTTTTAGTTTCAAAAGGTATCATTTGGAGCCGGAGAAATGGTTCACTAGTTAAGAGCACATACACTGTTGTTACAGAGAACTCACATTGGGTAACACTTGCCTCTTGTTACTCCAGCCCCAGGGAGATCCTAACCCTTTGGACACTACAGGCATCTGCATTAATGTACACACACCTGCAAGTGTACATGCATGCTTGCATGCATACGTACACATACACACACGCACGCATGTTTAAAAAGTTGCCATTCATTTTGCACAATAGAGTTTTTTACCTCTACTCTTTAGTAACATGGTAATGGGGGGGGGGTGCCCAAATCACACAACAATCACGTCTTGTGGCTTAACTCTAGGCCTCATTCTTCCTCACAGAACAGCTGTGGATAGCCCAGACCTGCTTTGTACTCTGTGAGCAAAAGAGATGATTTTGTTTATTTACTCCTCTTTATTTTCATTTGTGCTTATTTCACTTATTTACTTATTCAACTCATTTATCCTTCCTTTCTTCCTTTCTTTCCTTTTATTTTTTTCCTTTCCTCCCTCCCTCCCTCATTCCCTCCCTCTATTCATTCATTCATTCATTCATTCATTCGTTTTTTTTTTTTTGTTTGTTTTGTTTTGTTTTTGTGGGTCAGTTTAATAGCCCTGGTGTCCTGGAACTCACTTTGTAGTCTAGGCTGACCTTGAATTCATAGAGATCCCCTTCCCTCTGCCTCTGGAATGCTTGGATTGAAGGCAGTATGCCTGGCACGGTTTATTTTTTGAGATAGGGTCTTGCTATGTAGCTCACACTGACCTTGAACTCCTGTCCCAAGTACTGGGATTACAAGTGTGAACTACTTTGCCTAGCTCTAAGAGAGATAAGACCCTTCTTCGTGATGATGCCACAAGCTTTCTTTTACTCATTAAGAAGATTAAAAATGGGAGAAACACATTTTTAGCTTTAGGACGAGTCTTGTCTATTCTTTTCTAAACTGGTGTTCTTGGTCTGAGTTTAATAATCAACTTAAAAACCAGACCTAGGCTGGCTGGTGGTAGTGCACACCTTTAATCCCAGTACTTGATAATCAGAGGCAGGAAGGACTCTTGGAGTTTGAGGTCAGCTTGGTTTACACAGAGTTCCAAACCAGCCATGATTGCATATTGTCTCAAAAATCAATCCACCAAATGGAAACAAAATCTAAAAAACAAAAACAGTGTGTTTGAAGATAAGGGCCACATCACATGGCTTAGACCTCCCATGTCATTACTTTGTAGTCGCCTACCTATTCCTAGTTAGTATGATTATCTACTCCCTTTATAGTACCTTAGAGCAGAGTAATGTGAGGCTGGACACTGAACCCATTACTAAAGATAAATGGATCAGTTACACTAAAACAGCCTATACATTTGCCATAAAATTTGATGGGACACTTTTATTCATGGTTCTTCTGTGATCAGATACTTAGAAAACATTAAGGCAAAGAAGAATTAGAAACGCATTTTTCAAAAAGAAAAGCATTTTGCTTTCTTTGTCTGCAGAGCCATGTTGTACTATTCTCACAAAGCTCCTAGGAGCTAGTTGTGTAGTAATTTTTCATTATTTAATCTCAGAGTTCTTTGAAATATATGCTGAAAAATATATGTACAGTTTACTTGACCTCTAAGTAGAGTGTCTTGGCTTGCAGGATTAAATTTTAGGACAGGAAAGGTGGTAGCTTCATGCTTTAGTTCTTGATACTCTTCAGATTGTGTACGTGTACGTGTGTGTGTGTGTGTGTGTGTGTGTGTGTGTGTGTGTATCATATGATCACCAGAGCCAGAAGACTTCAGAAAGCTAGGAGTAGTGACTTTAATGTGTTGTGCCAGTCTCTGGTATGAGCTTTGTTTGGCAGGCCCTGACAGACTACCGGGCAGAGCTCCGGGATGACCCAATCATCAGCACACATTTGGCCAAGTTGTATGATAACTTACTGGAACAGAATCTGATCCGGGTCATTGAACCTTTTTCCCGAGTACAGGTAAGAATCTTCCTGGGAACTTTCTTAACAGTTTTGGGTTAGATGGTATAGTGGTAGCCACCTCCTTTTCCATATTTGTTCAGAATAGGAACTCACTTTCAAGGGTATGTCTGTTGGTAAGAAGCCAGGAAGGGCTTGGACTTGTCTGGATGGGAAATGAATCAAAGAAGATGCTGGTGGGGTTATGAGCTGATGCTACGAGCTGGCCTTTCCCCGTGTTGATTATCCCATTCTTGTAGTCATTGTCAATATTTTCTGAATTTGGTACATGGAACAGGAGTGTATTCTGTATAGTGAAGAGCAGGAAGAGGACCGAGCAGGACACTAAGTGTGGCCAGGGAGAATTTCCACTCTCTAGATTCAGCAGCTCAAGAGACACACTAGTTCTCTGTCCTTCTGTTTTATATTGAAGATAAATTCAAACTTTCAATGTTACTGTCTGCTTTTCCTTTTAGATTGAACACATATCTAGTCTCATCAAACTCTCCAAGGTAAGTTCTCAGGCCTGTTATGTGGTGAGAATGGGGGAAAGATATGGAGGGGTGTCTTCTTTGTGAGGAACTGAATGTGGGATCAGAGCTGGAGAGTATTTCATTGCTATTTTGCTCCAATCCTTTCTTTTTTTCTTTTTTGTAAGACTCTTTCTTGTGAAACTTTCATGTCAGACTGATCTCTGATTAATGGATATTGGTCCCTTTAATCGTGTACTTTGATTTTAGGCCGACGTGGAAAGAAAATTATCACAGATGATTCTTGACAAGAAGTTTCACGGTGAGTAAGCAGCACACAGGCCAGGGCCTGGTCGGAATTTGCAGGGTGTATCTTTAAAACGGGCTGAGTTTCTCTCTTGACATTCCTTGGAGCCCTGACTCCCTTTGAACAATGTGTAAGGGGATGGAGAGAGGATTCATCAGTTAAGATACTTAAGGAGCTAGGTTCAGTTCTCAGCATCCACATGGTGGCTCACAACTGCCTGTAACTCTAGTTTCAGGATCTGACGCCCTCTTCTGGCCTCTGAGGGCTCTTGCATGCACAATGTGCTGTGTGTACTCACACAGGCTCACGTATATATAAATAAAACACTCAAAGTTTTTTAATAAAAGAAGTGAGAGTATGTAGCAAATGTGCTGGGAGAAATTGGGATAAAGTGATGAGACAGACTGTGGGGTCCTTTTTTATTGTCTAATATTTCCTTTTAATTGGTTTGTTGCTGTGTTTCTTGCAGGGATTTTGGACCAGGGGGAGGGCGTTCTGATCATTTTCGATGAACCCCCAGTAGATAAAACTTACGAGGCTGCTTTGGAAACAATTCAGAACATGAGTAAAGTAGTGGACTCCCTCTACAACAAAGCCAAGAAGCTGACATAGGTGAGTGCCGGCCCCGGGACCCAGGGCCGGGCAGCACTGTCTTCTGCCTGCGACACTGAACACCTTCTGGTCCTCACGGCTTCCCCGATTGACACTGCTCTGTCTTCTCTTGCAGAGTTGGATCTGTAGCGGTTCTTTGGAGAGTGTGTGTGGCGGGAGAGTGAACCCTTGGGGAAATGCTAGGAGATTCTTTTCTTTCTGTTGTACTTTTCGCTCGGAAAGTTTTTAACCCTCATTGGTGCATCTGTATCCAGCGATAGGCGGCCAGTTCTCATGTAATCAGCACTGGCCAACATGGGAGTGGGAAAATTGCTTAAAAAAAAAGAAAAAAGAAAAAAAAGATTCTAAATAAAAGGAAAAAGGCTTACACTACCTAAAGCTGTGCTCTCTGCCTCCTGGGAAGAGGGCCGCAAAGCCAGGCACCCCGCCAACCACTGGGGATCCTCATCCACCTGCTGGGCGCCACCTCTCCTCCTCTTCAGAATTGGGTGTTTGCTGACCATCAAAAGCAATGACTTTTTATTCTGTTTGTACTGAACCAAAACAAACAACTGTGTATAGACTGCTGTTTTCTTTGTTATTTGAAACGAGGCGTTGGTGTGCTCTCTCCCCTTCCCTCTCTGACTTTGGCTCCAGCAGACTACCTGAAAGGCCGGCTGTGGAGCCACTGCAATACGGCTCTGCTCTGACCTGTGAAAGAATGGGAACAAGTCCAGGAGCTAGTGTCCACTACGGCCACACGGGCGGGCACAGTGTGGGCCTCAGCCCTCAGGGTGCCTGCTGTGCACATGGCTTTCTTTAACACAGTAACTAGATTAGATGGCAGTGTTTTAACCACCCCTCCTCCCCTCTTTGCTTTCCTTTCTTCTATTTCCTTTCAGCCGGGAGACCATATCCTTTCTCTTTCCCCTCTAGAGGAGTTGGGTTGTCTGAACTCCATCTGCTGCTTTCCCTCTCTACCCTTCTCTCCTGATGTCAGATGGAACTATCCCTTTTCAAAACAGTAACATCGGGAATGAGGCTGGGTGGTTTTAATTTAAATTACAAAAAAAAAAAAAACCAACCCAAAACTTTGTTGGGTTTGAAGCACCCTCATGCCCCCTTCCCAGACTGTCTTCCTCTGCCTCTTAAGAGTGTGAGCTGACGGGGTGGCGCTGTTTTAGCATGCTTTGTTTCCGATGCAGTTCCTTAGCAGGCTTTGATGCCATTTGGGCAGGTGAATGCCTGCACCTTTGCTGTCCCCACCGTGCTGTGTCCTCTCATCCACTCTGTCTTTTCTCTCTTCCTTCCTCCCCTGACTCCTTCCTGCTGGCCCCCTTTTCTCAGACTGTCCTTCCAGGTTTTGGTAATAGATCTCTATTTTGTAAAAGGTTTTGTTGTACCAGGTTTTGCATCTCCACTAAATCTGACTGGCTTTCATTTTCCTCTCAAAATCAGGTTTTGTTCTCAGCCACCTTCTCCCCATCATGTCCAGTCACTGTTTTGGTTTTGGCACCATCAATATCAAATGTACAAACGGTTCTTGCTAACCAACACCAGGTATATCTGATGTTCAGATGAGTTCCAATAAAATAATTTTTTTTCAAAAGGTGTCTTTTCTTGAGTGCTGGTGGGTTTCCAAGAAAGTTCAAGCGTTCCATGTAGCCCCTTCTGGCTTGGCCAGAGCTCTGTCACTTCATTGCCTAATGGGAGTCTTATAACCATGCTGGGAGTCCATATTTGGAAACCTTGGCAGGAAAGCTGACCTGTAAGGAGTGAAGTCAAAAATGGAGCTCAGGTGTCTTTTGGGGCAGGAGGACCAGCGAGGACATGTGGGCTTGGACAGTAGTCACCAAGCCTGTCTCCTTATCTCCTTGTCCATGGGAGGCAATAGGATGCTAGGTTCTGATGAAGTAGTGCAGGAGCCAGTGTCTCCATGGCCAGTCTCATTTCAGTGACTTTGGAATCTTCTTTTTTTTTAAAAAAAATTTATTTATTATGTATGCAGTATTCTATCTGCATGTTTGCCTGCACACCAGAAGAGGGCACCAGATATCATTACAGATTGTTATGAGCCACCAAATGGTTGCTGGGAATTGAATCAGGACCTCTGGAAGAATAGCCAGTGTGCGCTTTTTTTTTAAAAATATTTATTTATTTATTATGTATACAATATTCTGTCTGCGGTGCAGACCAGAGGAGGGCACCAGACCTCATTACAGATGGTTGTGAGCCACCATGTGGTTGCTGGGAATTGAACTCAGGACCTTTCTAAGAGCAGGCAATGCTCTTAACCTCTGAGCCATCTCTCCAGCCCCCTACTTTGGAATCTTAAATAGCGGCTATTTTCATACTGCCTTTAGACCCCAAGAGTAGGGGGATTCTGAGGGCCTAGGGCCCCTGGGGGACTGACAAACCCCTCCCAGTTTAGCAGTTCTCAGGTGTAGATGTGTTTCTTTGTATAATTTTACTTCTAGAAAGTTTAGTTTCTATAAAGGACTTTAAAACTCTGCATAGGGATGTGATGTGGAGCTGGAGCAGGGTAAGGAGGGTCTCTTAGACCTAAACCCTAAGCAGCTCAGAACAGTAGCCCTTAGTGTGATGATGCAAGAAGTGTAGTCAGGCAGAGCTGCTAGCCGTGTGACATTAGGCCTTGAAGTGATGCTAGTTCAGACTAACCACAGACCATCCTTTACAGGCTTGGTGTGAAAGAAGTGTTAAGCAACTTACTAATTTTTATGTATGCCACTGGAATTTTTGGGGCATATTGGGTTAAATAAAACATACGTTATTAAAATTCCCTTTTTTTTTTTTTTTTTTTTGGTTTTGGGTTTTCAAGATAGGGTTTTTCTAACTGTCCTGGAACTAGCTCTATAGACCAGGCTGACTTCGAACTCAGATCCATCTGCCTTTGCCTCCTGGGATTGAAGGTGTGGACCACCACCACCCAACTGTTCTTTATTAATGTTCCTAGAAAATAGCGCATTACCCATGTGGCTGGTCAATATGGCTCTCAGGTAACCTCTGTTGGACTGTGCTGCACTAGACCGTCATGGGATGTGCCACGGTTTCTCCTTCCAGGTCTCACATAGCTAGCCTAGCTTCCTCCCCACTCCCAAGGTCTGGCCATTGATTGGCCTGGTTCTGGGCTGTCTAGCTGAGGGCTCCTTTTAGGCACTCGCCTTCAATGTATTGGGACTTTGTTGTGCATTAATGAGACTGCTTTGACTGTGACAGCCAAGAGGTCTGCTCTTGTGCCTTGCTGTGTGCTGGTTACATAATCTGTGTTGCTCAGAAGAGCCACTAGATGCTGCTCTATGCCCTCACAGGAAGACTTCCTCAAGAACCAGCATTCTGAAGCTCTTGGTTGGAATCCTTTCTGTACCATGTAGCTAGTTGCTCCTTTGGCCTTCTGTTCTTGGGCCAGTATGGAAGTGGTAAGTGTACAAAAGATCTCTACTGAGCTATTGCATGGGCACCCCACCTTGCAAGGTAGCTAGATAGGCTTTAGGGAAAGTAGGCTGGTTGATAGTGAAAACTAGACATCTTCCCTGAGCTATCTGAATACTGGGAGGAAAACATCCTGCAGCGTTCAGCTTGCTCTGCCTTCTGGGCTCTAGATTCTACCATGTTGGGCAGATTGTTGCCCTTTCTTCCTTGCTTCCCTGTTGGAACAGTGAGGGAGCTGGGTGGGGGAAGGCAGAGGTGGACTTGACTGGTGCCCCGTGTGAAGGCTATTCAAGGTTGACTACATCTGGATTTAACGAGAATGCAAATCTGGAGCGCACACTATTTTGCTTCAATTTGATGTGGAAAGATCCACTTTTTGTCTGGGTCTTGAGGTGTGAAGATACACGCCTGTAATCTGGGTCTCAGGAGGAGGGACACACCTACTGCTGGAGTGGGAGAAGGAAGCTTTTGCTTTTTGCCTGCTTGCTCTGTCCTTGCTAGCAAGGCCATTCCTTCACTGGCATTAGGGCCTACTTCAGGATTCCTGCCTTTGCTGAAGACCAGCTGAGACATCTAGCCTCTTGAACTGAGCAGCTTCTGGATTCTTGGACTTTCTGTCCAATAGCTGGCTGTTGTTGGGAGTTCTGTTACCCTCCGGAACCCTGACTGATAGACTTTGAAGAGCTTCTCAGGTATCACCTAGGTGGTAGGGCGCCTAACAACCTTGTCCCTCAGCATGGAGGTTGATAGAATTGTCCTGTTCTGTTCTGCTACCAACATGACTTTGCCCCTGGCAATGTGAGGAGGCTGGAGTAGTTCACACAGAGGGTTTGAAGGACTGGCTGGACAGAAGACAAGAGAACATGTGTACAGCCATGCTGGAAAAGGCCCATCAACTCCAGGATCAACTGTAAGAGCTGGAATTCAGTTGCAGGCTATAGCAGGCCCAGGTTTTTCTAATGGGTGGATTGCAGCCTTCAGAGATGTGTGTCTATTTAGGGAAGTAGTGTAGTAATAGGAACGGCGGGGCTGCGTTCCCAGCACCCCGGCCGCCTGCTTGGCTAGCTTATGCCCGAAATAACAACACACAAACTGTATTCATTTAATTACTGCTTGGCCCATTTCTATCTAGCCTCTTCTAGGCTAATTCTCACATATTAATTTAGCCCATTTCTAATCATCTGTGTAGCGCCCCTAGGTGCGCTTACCGGGAAGATTCTAGCCTATGTCCATCCTGGGTCGGAGCTTCATCGCGTGCATCTGCCTGGGAGCTGGGAGCATGGCATCTCTCTGAGGCGTCTGCATCTCTCTGAGGCGTCTGCTCCCGAGAGGAGAGCTGTGGAGTCTGAGCTCACTTCCTCTTCCTCCCAGCGTTCTGTTCTGTTTACTCCTCCCACCTATCTTCTAACCAATGAGGGCCAAGCAGTTTCTTTTTATTTAACCAATGACCTTCCTCCATCAAAGTAGAACACATTTAACTTTTGCTCAATCCTATAATTTGAAAGAACATAAACAATGAAGCCAGCTGAGAAGCTGGGTCTCTCCCCCTGGGGCTGGAGGAACAGAGGCTGACTTTCAGGGTTTCCTTTCCAGGAAGAGGCATTGGGTCAGGGGGGCTGAAAGACCATGGGCAGATGACTTAAACCCACTTGACAATGAAGGGCCAAGGCAACTCCTGATTTTCAAGAGCAGTTAGGATTGTTGACACTCTGAGCCATGAGACTTGATCTCCGTGTCAGTGTTGAGCCGGGTCGTCAGAGCTGGTGTGGCTCATGCCTCAGTTCCAGCAGTTAATAAAAGCAGGAAGACTGCCAGTCGCTGGCTACAAGGAAAGGTCTTAAGTCAGCGTCGCTTCGATGCATGAAGGGGTTAAGTAAGCTCCTGCTAGTGTGAGTTGTTAGATAACCAATTGATGGCACTTGCCATCAATCCCACAAGTACTTGTTAGCTCTCCCCCTTGCCCATGTGAGTTGAAGCCTCAAAGCTCTCTTGTCAAGGAAAGTTCTACCTCTGGTTCTGGACTGGACTCCAGAATTGTGAGTTAACACATTAATTTTGTTTTGCTTTTGTTTTTCGAGACAGGGTTTCTCTGTAGTTTTGGAGCCTGACCTGTAACTCGCTCAGTAGACCAGGCTGGCCACAAACTCACAGAAATCCGCCTGTCTCTATCTCCTGAGTGCTGGGATTAAAGGTGTGTGTCACCACCGCCCCGCGCCACATTATAGATTATCCAGTGTTGGGTGTTGTGTTCTAGCAATAGAATACCGGCTAAGATTCTGCTCATCGAGGAACGTTGTGATGAAGGGCACACAAGCTAAGCTAGCCTTCCTGGTGTTTGACAGGTCCTGGAAAACGTGTTTTTTTTTTTTTTTGTACATTTCGATGCATTTTCTATTCTGGTCGCCAAGGCCCCTAAACTTTGTAACGGAGAACTCTCTGGGTACATAAAGAAACTGGCGCTTTCTAACCTGGAAGTACTGTGCCTAATGACTCAACAAGATTCCTGTTTTGGGTAGTTGGCTCAGCTGTTGCAGGTGTTGTCAGGAATTCTCTAGGTCCGAGTTAAGAGACGGTTTGTGGCTTGCTTGCTAGTTTGAGTCTCCAGAATCAGTCCAAAATGAATGGCTAGTAAACCGGCAGTCGCCTTTGTGAAGGATATGGAGTGTTTGGGAGCTGTGCGTCGATGATCAGAACCAGAATATTCCGCAATTTTACTGCCATCAAGCTTCAAAACGGGCAAATCAGAGGCTGGCCCGAGGTTCTGAGCCTTAGAGGACAGCGGCTCTCCCTTGCCCTGCGCGGGGCCACTCTTCACAAGGCCCGCGGCCTCAGCTGCGGGGGCCGCGGCGGGAACAAAGGCAGCACGTGTCTGGGCGGGGTCCGCCCTTCGCCCCGCCCGCCCGTCCGCCCGGCGAGCTCCGCTGCGCGGCGCCGGGATTCACGAAGCCGGGCTGTGCCGTGCGGCGCGGGCGGCTTCGAAGCGGGGATCCGGCGCCGCGCGTTCCCGCCGCCCGCATGGAGCGCGCCCACTAGAGGCGCCACCGTGCGCCGCTCGAGCCGAGAACTCGAGTGGCCGCGACCTGGCGGCGAGACCGAACGGGAGTGCGGCGGCGCGCGCGACCCGGAGAGGCAGCCTGCGAGGCGCGCGCCGGGGCGGGG